AAAACGATCCATGTACTAAAACGTCATAAATGCTCATTATTCAGTGACTAGCGGTACTAATAATCATTTTTCTTTCTTGCAAAGTGAAACTATAATGATTTTGTGTGCTTCTAAATGCAGATTGTTGATGAAGAACCGAACAAAAATTATTTCTCCCCAGTCAACGCAATACCCATGATGGTAAGCTCATTTTGTGAGCTAATTAGAAGCTTCACCATTTCATACAAAAGGGGACCAGAATACAAGGAAGGGAGTTTTCTGAGATTTTTTAGGATACTTGGTTTGGTAATTCCAGGTTTGCCAGCTCATTGTCCTCAAGATTATGTCAACACCACCAGGTTGGTTTCCAAAGAAGTTTTCCTTCAAACCAAGGATCGCCATCCACCGCATAAAACTCTTTAACTTGATGAATGATAATTTGTAATCTCCTATATTAATCATAATTGGGTAACACTTTTCTCTACAAATTAACGGCACAAAAAATGGGGACTTTGTACAACGTACATTCAGTACATATAAACTGATCAATCAAATATTGTACAGTTTTATATGTAATACTCGAGTCACTTTCCGGTATCTACCCAATCGATCGAATTACTAGTGAGTTAGAGTTATATTTGTTGTACCTGTACGTCATGTTTTTACATGTTAAAAAAAAAAAAAAGAGAGAAAGCTTAATTAGATTGACAAATGTTTCTACATCCCAACTGCATAGCTTTCTGTTTTTTTTTGGGCTTAAATCTCACCTGCATAGCTTGATTAAACTATTTATATATTTTAGAACCATTCTTCTAATTTCTCTCAACCTCTTTCATGATCTCTTAACGCGGGACAATATATAATTTTCAACTGTAATATCAGTTTTTAAATTAATCATACTAGATTAACAAAATTATGATGCGTTTAAGGTAACTTGATAAAATTTGATGGTTACAACTATACCCTATTAATAGAGATTTTATCATTATCCTATCATAATATTCTCATTCTAGCACTCACATCCTATCCTTTTTCTCTTACCATTCACATATTTATTATATATGTTTTATGATATTATTTTGGAATAAAGTTTTATGCAATTATTTATGAACTAATAATTCATATAACAAAATGCACATGAACTTATACTTATAAAAAATTTCATCAAGATCCGTTGCCTTAGCAACATCAACCAATATGATCAAATACTAATTTCCAATCCAAATAGAATATTTAAACCCAAACCTAAGCATTAGTAGCTGGTCTTTGTTCCTAACATTTAAAATCTAAAATCTAAGGTTGTGACCTAATTAAGGGCCCTTTTGGTTTATGAGTTCAAGTCAGTGATTTTGATTCTAAATTCAAATTTTATGAGAATTGGTGAGAATTTTTTTTAAAAAATATTTTGTGAGAAAAAAACATTATAGTAAAATCAGTGTCATAGATTTAAATGCGTGAACCAAATAGGCTCAAATTCTTGAATGGAACCCCAAAAGGTTGTTTTTTTAGAGTTGTCAATAGGTGAGATCAATTTATTGGTCAACAACTCAACATTTTGGAGATACGATTTAATGAGTAACTGGGATAAAACTCAGGGAAAAAAATGAAATTCCAATGAAAGAGAAATTCCAGCTCCAAGGCAGATCAACATGGAACACGCGATACGCAGCAAAATAAGAGCAAATAATCTGAGAATAAAAAGATTACCTTGCTCCATCATCTAAAACAGCGACTAACGCTGAGAATTTTTACAAAGGCTAATAAATACAATAAAATTTTAACAAAATATATTATTTATTTTCGAGAAAAATCAAAATTATAAAAACATAGATATAATCGATCCTTGTCAAAATCTAAATGCAAAGATTTAACTTTTCCCTTATCTCATCTTTATTATTTTCCATTATCAAAGGATGTAATCATTCACTTAGGGTATGCAGGCAAAAATCGGGGACAATATGCCAATAATCAGATGGTGAATTTAAAAGCAAAGAGATCAAACTTGACCGACAAATTTTTTTAGTAAATAGAGAGAGCGTAACTTATGAAATGATCCTTACTTTATTAATAAACAGAGAAAATAATATATAAGAAATAAAGAAACAGAATTCAATAATAAATAAAGGCTACCAAAACAAGCTGGGGAAGAAAACCCCTATTTTAAAAGGTGAACGAAATCACAAAATCACAACCAAAATGAAAAAAGATCTATACATCTCTACAAAATATTGAGAGAGAGAATATATCATAATAAAACCTTAAACTAGTAAAACTCATTGGGGAAACTGTGGTAGAGGAAAAAAGAGTGCACGATTCAATCCGCCCATATTTAGCAATTCGAAACCTTTCTTATTTTGAACACGAAGAGCATAGACTTCTTCTTTTTTATTATTATTATTATTATTATGGGCTCACTAGTCATAACCTTTCACTATCTTTTCAAACTCCGTGAATTTATCCCAAGACCCTAAAGACATTGCAGTTATTAGCTTATCCAACATCCGATTTCCGAAAAATATGATTAGAGATTTTCCTGAAATTTTTAGACAAACAAAGGTGAAAACGGAGGGGAGGGACCAATAGTTTGTGGATCCAAATTAGGAGAACAAGACGACTTTCCATCCGATATTATTGCATGCATGCCTTGATCGCTTGTCGGGTCGCATGTCTGTGTCTAGAGTATTCCCACGGCCAGGTGGGACTACTAATTTCTTTATTATTATTGTTGTGAGTGTCGTTATAATAATTATGAAAATAGTAAAAAATATGCCAATATGAAAAGCTTAAGGAAGTATATAAGTCAACTTTTAGTTATAGAAATTAATAAGCCATAACTTGTCAAGTTATGGTTCATAACTAGATAAGTTATGGATAAACTTGTCAAGTTATGGTTCATAGCCAGACAAGTATATGGATAAAAACCGTGATTTATGGACAATAACTTGTCAAGTTATGGTTCATTACTAGACAAGTTATGGACGAAAACAGTAATTTGGCCTATTTATTAATTTATGTAAACTATTGGCCTATTAATTTTAATTCATCTCAAGTCTTAGCCTATTTCTCTCTTTCTCCCTAATAATTATTAATCAATGTTCTACAACTTGTGATAAAAAAATCATTTTTATTGCCACAAGCAATGGCCAGAAATACCCTTTGCTTTGTTTGAAAAGAAAATTAATATTTGGTTTAACCTAACAAACTTAATTATTGCGATCAAGAACTCTTATCTCTTGATTAAGTGCTTCATATTAAAGTTGATTTAACTAGATCGGTTGACTTTTTGGTAGAATTGACTGCAAAGAATTTTGAAAATTAAACTTGATCAAGATATATAAGTTGCGTACGTAAAAGTACTATTGGATTCTAGTTTTGGGACAGAAAGGAAACGAGAGAGAGAAAAGAAGTCTGAATGCTGACCGGAGTTCTAGCACCGCCTCCGGACACATCGCCGAACTCCCGACCTTGAAAATCGGTCCACAAGCTTGTCTCATTGAGGTCTCTTCTATGGTGGCGGTAGTGTGTTGTGGAGTGGCTTGGTTAGGGTGGATTGGGCATCATCTAGAAGTTGAAAACTCGATGTTTGGGAGACGTTTTCTAGCGCCTTCAATGTTAAGTAATTGGGTCCTTTCGGAGGCTCTTTCCTGGCGGTGGTGGGCTTCCTTTGGTAGAAAGGTGGTGTCGTCTTCGTCAAAGGCTTGTGCCAGTGATGCTTTGAGTGTTTTTTTTTTTTTTTTTTTTTTTTTTTTTTTTTTTTTTTTTTGCTTTGGTGTGTTCTAATTTAGTTTGAAATAAAGGTGTGGAAACATTATTTTACCATTTTTTAAGTGTCGTTTTGTAATAACGGAGATGGTTTTACCACCTTATGACTTAATTTGTGTGTCTCATCCGATCAAATTGGTTTTTGACTGTGTGGGTGGTGATACTTGTCTAGAGATCTCTCCCCTTTATTTGGGGTTCGGTCTCAGTCATCTGGATTAGTCCATTGACTATTGAGGTCATCTCTAAAAAGCTTTGTTCATGCTCGAGTATTTTGTGCCGCACGGTTCTTTCCCAATTGAGTCTCGGTAATTGTTTTTGTCCCTGTTCTTGTGATAATTTTCTAATGGATCCAGTTGTTCCGAGTCGAATTCCCTTGTATTTGGGATTATTTCTGACTTTGATTTGAGTTTGAATCTCTTTCTGTTGAAATGATATTTCCCCATTAAAAAAAAGATTTATAACTCACGACGTCATTTTGCTGTTCGATGAACGCCCAATTCCTTTATTTAAAAATTGAGTGATGACAAGTCAACAAGCAAAAAACTAAGTACATTTTACGTTCTTTTTTTAAAAAAATTACATATATATATAAAATTTTTAAAGGTTACCTTCCCATCGTGGTTACCAAAGCCTATTAAATATGAAAATTTAATGGCGTGACGTAAAATTGATTCCAAGTCCAAACATAAAATAAATAAATAAATAAATAAAACATGTGATACTTGCCAATCAAAGTTTTTACTTGGAGTTTATACTAGTACTGACAACAGACCCCAGCTTTCATTCTGATTTCAGACATTTGAGTATCACCAAAGCATGATCAAGCACTTTTCCTTTAATTCAATATCAAAAAAGAAAGAAAAAGAAAAGAAAAAGGCAATACTTTTCCTTTAATAATATTTGATCATCAGTAATATTGAACCGTGTACGATCAATATATAAAACGTTACATCAATCAAGTGCTTTAGGTTGGTTGAGGGAAATAGCAAAAATTTCAGCTAGAAATTATAAATTAATTTGTTACCTAACACAACACTAACCATGGCTTGTGACGAGGGTTTCTCATGCAGGTTTATGCTTATGAAACCGGAGGATGTGAGTTTTCTCAATCTATTAATTTACATATTATTTTCCGACATCTTCGAGGAGAGGACGCGGCAGCCGGCAGATTCCACGGCGGCATCCGATGAAAGTTTCGGCTACAGAAAGCTCGTATTTAAGTCCATTCTGTTGCAGAAATTTCTTGTGCGTGTGGCAAAGCCATTGGAATGTTTTGGGTCGTCCATTGAATTTTGTTTGAACCTCTTGTCGAGTAATGACAACTTATTTTCTCTGATTCACAATGCTATTCATGGTTGGTTTTTTACTTCCTAGATGTGTTATTAATATTTTTTTTTCATATATAGTGTAGATCCGAAAATATGGAAGTAGAAATTTGATATTAATTCTTAATTGCTCGTTAATATTGCAGGTTTTTGCTGTGGTAAGGGAAAAACTAAAATTCTATTTTAATATTTCCTTAATTCTTTTTGGTTGCTAAAATAAGTAATATGGTTAATTCTTCTCTTCTTTTTTTTTTTCCTTGAAATCCAAAGATATGGTCATTTCATGTATTAATTTTCAATGTACTATATAATGTATTAATTTTCAAAGTACTATATATATAATTACTAGTTAGTTTTTATTTTCTCCCATATGACATTCAAAATTCGCAATAGGTTTTGGTAATTTGGTTTGAACTGAAAACCGGGCATTTCTCATTTCGTTTTTTTTTTTTTTAACAAGTTCTATATATATTACCTTTCTTCCAATGATTTTGCAATTAAATACCGTACAACTTTTCACTTGATCTGAAAGCTGCTAACCCCCAGGCTTCTCATTTTTTTGAATTAAAAAAAAAAACTATACTTTGTTTTATTTTATTAACGTCATATTCACCTAATTAAACCTAAAATTTAAAAAAAAAAAATCACATGTCATTTTTTTCATGTAAATTAAAGGCATTTAGAAGCCTTATATTGAAAACAACCTGATTTGCCCAGTAATTAATCGAACATATGTAGTAGTTATTCTTTTTCTTTTTAGAAAACTAAAATCCAAAGTTATAATATCAATGAAAACCACAGAAGAACAGCTACAATATTTATATAAATTTAGGACTAAAAACAGATGGGTCAATAATACCTTGTCTAGGGAAGCTGGTAATTCCGGATAAAACATCACAGAATTTCTTCTCAATTATTGGAAATATCGACCAGCGAGAAAACTTGGACTCCAACATCAAACCCGGAGATCCCAGGTATAATGCAGCACTCTCTATGATGGCTTCCAAATTGTCATACGAGAACAAAGCCCGCATTGAACACACAGTCACTCAGCTTTGGAAGGTTAATTATATTTAGTTTAATTATTAATAAATTTAATAATAACTATGTCATTTACTTATGATTAGCTCCTACTTAATTTGCCATTTATCGTAAAATACCATCTAAAGAATTCAATTTACTTTTCTGCAGATGCAGTTCTTGGGATTTTACGAGTATTGGAATGGTAAGAAAAAGTAACCCCTCATTCTTCGGAAATTTTCACATTCATGAAATATTCCTTGGTAAGTTAAAGAAAATACTTGACTCATATTGTAAGTTAAAATCTAGAACCCCAGATTTCTAAGAAAATTTTGGCATTCATGAAATGTCCCTTGTTTAGATTTTGTTCCTTTGAGTTGTTTTCTGAATAAAGGTAATTTTTACGAGACATCAATTTCTTAAATATTGAGTAGATTCTTGTGGGGTTCTAGATTTTTTTTTTTTCTTTTTTTTTTTTTTGGTATTGTAGTCTGTTCTGAGAGTTGTTGCTTTTTATTGTTTGAAATTGTAATATTTTTTTCTTTTATATTTTTAATAAAATTGAGTGGAGAGCTTCATAGAGGATCATTAGCTTTAATTTGGTGGGTGTCAAGAAGGTTTAGTATTTGTTGCCTAATCTGTTTAAAATAATACTTATGCATTGTTCATATGTTTAATTAAAACAGTGTCCTAAATTTTAATATATTTAATAGGTTATTTTTTAAACCATATTGTCAGATTTTCAAGAAAAATCTACGACGCAAGCATTCATGATGCGAGATAAATCCGAGGACCATGATACCATCGTGGTGGCCTTTAGGGGTACGTTGCCTTTCGATGTAGCTGCGTGGTGCTCCGACTTTGATATCTCTTGGTATAGAATCCCTAAAGTCGGAAAAGTTCACGGCGGCTTTATGAAAGCTCTAGGCTTGCAAAAGAGTGCTGGTTTTCCCAAGGACATGATTGAAGAAGAAGAAGGTCGTGTTAAGAGGAACAGACCATCACCCTTGGCCTATTACGACATTAGGGAAAAGCTTAGAGAGCTTTTGGGGCAAAACGACAAGGCAAAATATGTATTAACTGGGCACAGTCTAGGTGGGGCCCTCGCAATTCTTTTCCTTGCGGGTCTAACATTGCATGAAGAGAAGTTTTTGCTTGAGAGATTGGAAGGAGTCTACACATTTGGGCAGCCTAGAGTTGGAGATGAAAAGTTTGGGGAATTCATGAAAAAGGAAATCATAGAAAATGACCATACTCGCTATTTCAGATTTGTTTACTGCAACGACATCGTTCCTCGGCTGCCGTACGACTACAAGCCGCTCATGTTCAAGCACTTTGGCACGTGCCTCCACAGTGACAGGCATTACAAAGTAAAGGTAATCGACCAAATTTTTTAATTAGGAGACGTTTGGTTTATGGATTAGAATCATGTTATTAGAACTATTTTTGATTTATGTGTATTTTTTATGAGAGAAAATACTGTAACGAATCATGAATCATGATTCAAATCATGGTTTGAATCCTCAGACCAAACATCTCCTTAATTTTGTTGATGGGGGTTTTCATATATACGGTAGGGCATATCTAGAATAGTGCATATGTTTTTCAAAAATATTTTTTTTTCCTCGATAAGTTGGTAGGCCTGACATGGACCCCAGTGATTGTTCCCATCGAGAATTCTAGGATTGCTCTTTATTTCTAGATCAAAATTATATCAAATAAAAAGTGCGCAAAATTGACATAATTTTATACGGATTAGACAGTAAAACAACTAACCCTATTGATAACTTTTTTTTTCATGTCTTGCCATAAGAATATCATAATTTCTTTTTTCATGCCTTACCATAAAAAATATCATAATTAGAGTACCTTTTAAATTTTCTTTGATTATTGAAATGAATTATTAGGCTCTAATAACGTTGGCAACAACTTAAGATTTTATTATGTGCTTTTATAAATTAATGCAGATTGCTGATGATGAACCAAGCAAATATTATTTTTCACGGAGGAAAGCAATAACCATGAGGATAAATTCTGTTTTGGAGCTGATAAGAAGCTTCACCATTGCATACACAAAGGGACCTGAATTCAAAGAAGGGAAACTCATGCGATTACTTAGGGTAATAGGTTTGGTGATTCCAGGGTTGGCAGCGCATTCTCCTCAAGATTATATTAACACCACTCGGTTGGCATCCAAAGAAGTTTTCCTCCCACCCAAGAATTCGTCACAGAAGAACCCAATAATTGGTGGGTGAAGATTTTGTGACTATTTCAGATATGGGATTTGAACTCTCTTGAGTGCGAAAGAAAATGGCACTAACAATATTCATGAAACAGTGCAATATTACAAGTTTTCATTGATCAAGTGTAAAGAGATGGAGACAGTACTTTTATCTTTAACACTGTCTCTCACTTGTGGGCTGAATGATGAATAATTATGTGAATAAATATTATTTGGTATGTGATTATTAAATAATAAATTTGAAACATATTAAATACTTAACACATGATGACAATTTAAAAATGGCACTTATAAAAGTTAGAACAGAGGACTTCTCGCTCTGATACTATATTAAAAAATAAAAAATAAAATTTTAATATTTAACATGGTTCAGTAATGTGCTTACGTCCACTCTAAAATCTTAGTTCATTATTTACTTTACGCATTTATTTATTGTTCTACACGAGAGACAAATCGCAATGGTTAAAGCGAAGAGTTCATCTTATTTGGTGACTTTATACATCAAGAATATTATTCGTGTGCACTTTTTTTTTCCTTGGCAACTATAGGCTTGATAAATACCTATTTTAGGTTAAAAGGACACTTAATTAGTTTCAAGTTATAAAATTTTAAAGTTTCTCTTCTCCGGTCAAACATGCTAAAGATGCAAGAACGGGCCGGCCTGGCCGTTCTCCTTAGGCCCACGCGGGCCGGGCCGGCCCAACCCACTAATTTTGTGGGCCAGATTGGTCCGGCCCGTATAAAAATGACTTCGGCCCAGTCCACACCATGAGCCCGCGGGCCAGGCTAGGCCGTGCCGCGGGCCATGCCATGAGCCTTGAATGGGTTGGCCCACTTAAGGCCTATCTTGGCCCATCATGGGTTTAGATGGGTCATTCCATCTAAGCATACAATTTTCAATTTTTTATTTTTATTTTTTATTTTTGAATTTGTAAACAAGTTAACAAATATATAAGTTTGAATAGTCAATAGAAATATGAAAAGGGATATTTTATTTACGATTATCTCATTAAATAAAAACCTTTCCAAGGAAAACTCAATGGGACAAAACCTTAGTAAGGAAAAAATAGTATAATCAGGATAATTATATATAAGATGTTTACAAAATTACTAAAAAAAAGAAAAAAACATGAAGATATTATGGGCTTAGATGGGCTGGGCTAGGCCGGCCCATCATAGGCCTAGACGGGCCGGCCCATCATGGGCCTAGACGGGCCGGCTCAGCCTGGCCTGGCCCATAATTTTTCATGGGTCGCGTCGGGCCAATATATGTTGGCCCAGCCTAGCCCACTAATATTTATGGGTTGGGCCGTGCCTTAAACAGTGACGGGCCGTGCCGGCTCAGCCCGTCACTATGTCAGGATAGGCCTGTGCCGGCCCACGGTCCCGGCCTATTATTGCATCTCTAAAACAAGCATTCATTATTAGTCTATTAAATATTAATGTTTTATTTGAAAAAAAAAAGAATAATATATAATAGGACTGAAAAGATAAGAGTAAAAAAAAAAAAAGAGGGAAAGACAACAAAAGAGAAGTAAGAGAGGGAAAAAAACCTTACGTATAAAACGTTTCGTCTGCGGAGGAAATTTAAAAAATTTATATAGAGATATTTATGAGAAAAAATTATTTCAACAGAGAATTAGAGAGAAAAATTAGAGCAAAAAAATATAAGAATGAAAATAAGAGAGACAAAAAAAGGAGAGAGAGAGAGAGAGAGAGAGAGTAAAAGGAAGAAAAGTAAAAAATAATAACCAAAAAAAGTGAAAAGTAAAAAAAAAATCATCAATAAAGGCCTCGTTCATTTCACCGATTTGAGTTTTCAGTTCTGAATTTCTACAGTAAAAAACTCTCAGAAAATATCACATCTAATTGTTTATGTTACAGTGAGAAGTTCTCACAAAATGTCACATTTCAACTCGAATTGAAAACTCGAATTCACAAAGTGAACGAGACTTTCGTTTCATTAGTGGCATTTACTCTTTGTAAATAATGCATGTGTATAGATAAGAAAAATAATAATAATAATGTGTATGTATAAATATATAAAATATAATACTTTTTGGAGGAACAGACTAGGGTACTAGTTAAAGACAGTACTACAAGAAATAGTAAGTTCAAGGACAATGCTATTGACGATGGAAAATGTCGCTGCTTAAAGGCTGTTCGTCACAGGGAAAGGTGGAGTAACATATTTTCAGTCTTTCTAATTTGTCAAAAATTTTCGCCAGGTTCGTGGCGACTTTTCAGAGTGACTTGTGCGTCGTTGAAAAATCTGAACAATAAAAGCATGAAAATGTCCATTTATTGAACAAAGTCTTCAGTGAATACGTCGACTAAAAAACGACTCATACACTAGGAATGATCCCGTTCAGAAGTTTTTAACATCATGTAATGTCTTAAAAAAATTAAGGGCGTGTTAACTCATTCAAAAATGATTTTATTTTTTAATTTTATTCAAAAATTATTTTTAAAAATATATTTAATAGTTTTATCAAGAGATTATTTTCAGTATAAAAAAATTCATTAATGTCTCTCTCCGCTAGAGAGAAGAGAAAACGAAAACAAAAAAGTCGTTTTTTATTTCCCTCTCATTTTATACTAAACTAAAGTATCGTTTTCATTTCTATTTTTTATCTTTAATTGTATTAAACGTCGTTTTAAAATCGTTTTTATTTTTTATTTCTCGAAAATGGTGAAAAACAAAAATTAAAACAATTCTAAACACAACACAAATATCTGGATTTGATCTGCATTTAATAAAATTATTCAATAGTTTCTACTCTCTTCAAAATTCTAATTTAATAGTTAACAAAAATCTCACTAGGGAAAAAAAAAAAAAAAAAAAAAAAAAAAAAAAAAAAAATTTTTTCAAAAAAAACTGATCCTAGAGGGACTGACGTGCATGGGTTAAAATGTCGAGCGGAGTTTACCCAAGTAACGGACAGGTTACCCATGGTCTCCTTCACGTCGACTCGTGTGCATCTTAATTACTTCTCTGTCATCCTCTGAGCATAGTGGGCTTGGCGGTGTACTTCGCTGTTAGGAATGGCGTTCTGAGGGGTGGCGTGGCGGTGGAAGAAGGTTCCTGAGGTAGTGGTTTTCCTGCGAGAATTGAGAGAGGATTGGCAATGACTTTATTTATCTTATATATGTCCGGATAGAAAATCCACTAATCGGATTTGAAAAGCGAAGTTATGGCGGCAGAAAGAAATGCGTCTCTCATTGACTTCTGACAGCATGTGAGATGGATTCTCGTCGAATCATCATTATATTTTCGGACTAAGCGAAGTTATTGTGTCGAAAACGAAGATTGGAAACGTCATTAGAAGGTTTGGTTGTGAGTACAGAGAGAGAGACCAATTTACTGTTTTGGGCATATCGAGCAAAGAAATTCTAAAAATAACGATAAAAAAGAAAGAAGATTTCATTGTCAGTAAGCAAAATCGTGAATTAAGGATATGGAGTAGCGCTTGTTAGGTTGTGAATTTGGCTCACATCATTAAATTATTGGACTGTCAGGATGTTTATATGTGGTTTGAACACTCGCTTTTTAAGCTAATTTTTGAGAATGAGTTATACTTAACGATTATTTGACATGATATTAAAGTCAGATTTAGAAGCGGTGACGGTTTTGGAGTTCGGACACTAGCCCTGCACACTAGGCGTGAAGGAGGGTGTAAGATTTTGAATTTGCTAAACGTGAAGAAGGGTGTTAGATTGTGAGTTTGTCCTACATCGTTATTGCTAAGTTACAGAGCTGTTGGGATGTTTATATATGATTTCTCTTCCTTTGAGCTAGCTTTTGAGATGAGTTCTGTACGAACCTATTTGACACTATTGCCCTCTATATCGCTTAGGCATGTCACCATATTGCGAAAACTATTTTCGATCAACCTTTAAGTTATGCCAACACTTGATTAAATCAACTACATTTTCACTGATAAGTTTTTACGTTTTATACGTTAAAGCTTCCTATTAATATTTGATTAAAACCCAAATATAAACAACAGTCTTCAATATATAAGAGAACAAACAGTCTTCCAATTAATTAATCTTTGTAAAAGTAAAATAAGAGTTCTGAGAATCTCCTGAAGAAATTGCTTGGAAGATATGCATTCCTTTAATTTAATTTCAAAAACTCAAAAAAAAAAAATAGATCTTATAAACGGCACATTAGAGCAACTCCAACCATGTTAGCTGTTTATGTTTTTAGCTAAAATAATTAATGATTTAGCTAGAATTTAGCTTTTCTCCACCCCAATCATTAGCTAAATAGTTAGCTATTTTAGAGAATCCATTCACACTAACTAAAATAGCTAACAAGAAATGACTAACTATTTATTTTTTGTATTTTTTATTATTTCAAACCATAATAAACTCAAAGGTTTTTTTTAAAATTCAATAAAGTTATTTATATTTTTAAACTCAATAAATATTAAAATAATCTATACTTAGATAAAATAAGGAGTCTGGTTGGAGTGTATCACTTAAAAATTATTAGTTAAAATACGTTTCTAGCCATTTTAGCTAAAATTTAGATAGTATTGGAGATATTAGATTAAATGAGATTTCTCGGTTCCTTGATTTTCTTGATTTCATTATAATTCCATGATTTTAGCTTTCGTGATTGTAGGTCTAGAATTGTATTGACTTTTGATCATTTCCTTTTGTAGTTTTATTTTACTTTTCTCTAATTGTTGTGCAGTTGGCTATATATAGCCTTATATTTCCCCTATACGAATAAGAAGAATTATTCCACCAAAAACTTTGTCTTCTTCCTATTTCTCTTTAAAGTTTTTGTGATGGTATCAGAGCGGGAGGTCATGAGTTCAAACCCCTGTAATTGTACTTTTTATCCTCATTTAAATTGTCATCACGTGTTGGGTCTTTAATATACCTCGGGTTTAAATATTCACGTGTTGGGTTTTTCAATTAAGTTACTCACACGATTGCCCATTGTCTAGCCCACATGTGAGGGGGAGTGTTAAAGTATAAAACTATTGTTGGCCCACCTCCTAATAGCTTAAGCTTTTGGGATAGATTGGTAAACTAACAAATAGCTCACTTGGAGATACTCTTACATTATATATTCACAGAAATCTTTATTTAGGGTGTAATCATTTTACAACTCAAGTCATAATTGAGTTATGACTTGAGTTGTGTGTGTGAGAGAAAAATACTATAATAAAAAAGTTAAATTTGAATTTTTGTGGGAAAAAATATTGTAACAATAAAACTTGAGTTATGACTTGTTCTGTGTAATGAACAAGCCTTATGTGACGTTTGGTTCATAGGTTCAGAACCATGGTTCATGATTCTGATTTTTGAAATTTAAATTTTTTGTGAAAGAAAAACACTCTAACAAAACCACGAACCACGATCTTAAACCAAATAAAACCTTTGAAACAAACGTCACGTTAGTATTTTTTCCCTTTATGCTTTTAGGTGTGTTCCAAAGAACCTAATAATGGTCAAAACAAATAGGTCGCCTGTATATATATGTAGATATATACTTATAGTGCAATAGGAACTACAAAGCGAGTGAAGCCTAACTTTCAGTTCTTGGATGTGTTAGTACCAACTAAAACGCATCAAACCTTTTCAGTCTTCACATATAAAATTCTTTTCAGCCAGATCCACCAAACCTGCTTAATTATTCTTCTGATCTTCTCTCTCTCTCTCATACATATATTTAAACCCTTAACACACAACTTTCTTTCGTTGTACTCTTACAATAAACAGCCATGGCCTGTGACAAGGGCTTCTCGAGCAGTTATATGCTGTTGAAGCCAGAGGAAGTGAGATTCTTCGATCTCCTTCGCCTCTTGTTCTCCACCAAAGTAGAGGATAGGAAGTTTGTCGACTACTGCCCGGATGCGGCGGCGGCGGCGGAAGACGTCAACTTCCGGCGAAGATGGATCATATTCGTCTCCATATTGGCTCAGAAGTTTCTTCTCTTTACGTCCAAGCCATTGTTGTGGTTTGGTTCAGGGTTTGAGAGTTGGCTCAATCTCGTTTCCTGCAATCGCAACGTGGGTCGCCTCTTGCTTAATTTCTTTCAAGGTTAGTGGCCAATTCATTCAATTTAGTTTTTCCTTTTACTGGCATTTTCTTTAAATTTCTGGGTTATTATTGCATTTCATACATTTCATGAAGTTGATCAAGAAGAGTTTATATATATATATATATATATATGGACTCCCACTTTACAAATAAAAGGTGAAACCATCAAATTTTAATGGTTAGAATCTTAGTTGTGAAAATAAAGTCAAGTCGTTAAAAAATATTTATAATCCAATTAGAATATTGGAAAGTAAAGTTAATTACTCCATCTGGCCGATGGTGTCAACTGCGAAAGGATGAGATCCCTTCTACTAGATAGTTCTTTGAGGAGATCCCCATCCTCTAACTACTAAGACAACAAAAATTTTTCTTTTTCACAAAAAAATCCAAAAGCTTATATGGTCTTTCCCCATTTTTTACGTTTTTTCAAAAGGATAAATAATTAGTATATTCAATTAGTCGAGAACTGAAATCATGATATCTCCATTACAAACTCAGCATAATTAGGAACATTGTAATTATTCGGACAACAACGCCCACTTAGATAAAGTAACCTTTTGATTTTTTTTTTTTTTTTTTTTTTTTTTTTTTTTTTTTTTTTTTTGCTCTGAAGTAACCATTTGATGTTTGGTCCATGTTGACAATAGCTCTACCCTTATTACTAGATCAACATGAATCGCGTGCAATTTCTTATTTTCTCCCATTAAAAGGGATGGCCCAATATAGTCACACATGCTCTCAATTTTCAACATAAAATGACCCTTCTTTAAAAGTCAATATGAAAGTCGCACAACCAAAACCAGCCACTACAAACCCAACAAATATTATTCCACTACATATAGCGGAATAAGCACCGATCAAACTTTATCCCCACATTGTCGCCTTATAAGGAGTACATATTCCAAATAAGAATATAATTTGATGAAAATGAAGTTAGATGAAGTGGGAGTGTTAATAATTACTCTCTGTTGTGATCATTGTTTTGTTTTATTTTATTTTTTGTTTATTTATTTATTTGTGGTAACGATCCCTTGTGCTATATACTAGCTAGTATTTTGTTTTTTTATCGCCCTCGTTTGAAGCGTGGATCGACGAGAAAAAGACAACTAAAATAACGTCTTAGAAGATGTGTTACAGATAGCTCGTATTTAGCTGAGTCCATAAGATTACGTTCCGAAGTTAAGTGCGTCAATTTAAAAGCGACACAAAAATTTAAATTGAACATGAACACAATTAAAATTGGCATCCCTATAATTAAGCTACTAGGATAATAAAATGGTCAGAGTTAAGCAATGATGAAGTTGATCAACTGACCTCACACACAAACATTACCATTTGGGGGTGATTTACAAAGGTATATAGTTTCGGCGTAATCTTCTAGTGTCATTTTTCGCTAGTTATGCGATTCTCTTTGTATGGTAGTATTTCCAGTTGGGATTGTTTATTTTCTTTTTCTTTCAACTTTTGTAAATTTTTTATTTTATTTTAATAAATTGAGTTAGGGGCTCGATGTGAGATGGGTTTAGATCTTAAGTACCAACTTAGTAGAGATGTTTAAATTTATCTTCATGCCAATGTTGCTTCTCTTTATTGAAAGAAAAGAAAAAAAAAAACCGTATACATCAGCTTTTAATATGAGTTTGCAACGTTGTTTATCAATCTAGCTTAAATATTCACATGTTGGGCTTTCTAATTAATTTACTCACGTGATTGTCTATTGTCCAACTCACACGTGAGGGGGAGTATTAAAGTATAAAACTATTGTTAACCCACCTTTTAACAACTTAAACTTTTAAGATGAATCGGTAAACTAACAATTATTTATCAATCTAGCTATAAATTCAGTGAAAATGCATGGTAATGGTATATTGTTGACGTTTTACAGGGAAAGTGGTAAAGCCAGATAAAACGTCAGAAACTTTCTTGTCATTCATAGGAAACTTGGACAAGCGAGTGGAGCTAGATAGCAGCATCAAATATGGGGACCCCAGGTATCACGGGGCACTCTCTATGATGGCCTCTAAAGCATCCTATGAAAACAAAGCTTACATTGAAACCATAGTAAGGGATCACTGGAAGGTATATAACGAAATTACACTTTGCTTCATCATATATATTGCTTAAAACAGCAATAATGAAATTCTCTTTCCACAAAAAAATACAAAAAAAACAAAAAAAACGAAATGAAGTACCAATTAAATATATATGGAACTAGTTATTAATATTAGAGAAAATATTGCTCCATTTTTCTTTTCTTATTTTGTTAAATATTGCCCGGATTTAACGATAATAACTAAAATGCCGAATTTAGGTAGTGGAAAAATAACATGGGATACCGCATCAATTATTTTAGCAAATAAATATTAAATTTACTCGGTAAGATTAACCTAGTTAATAAATATTAAATTTACTGGTGTTTTTGTTTTTTTTTAAACACTTGTGTTTCATGTTTATCAACCGTCATATTTGTATTACTTTTTTAATCTGATTTTACTTTTAACTAGATTTAATACAAATCTAACGGCTGAAAAGCAGGGAACACCAGTGTTTCAAAAAAAAAAAAAAAACACTAGAGAGTTTTTTTTTTTCAATTTATAATAATCATTTTTTTTCTCCACTAAAAATTATCCACTTTTTTACCCAAATCACCCTTAATATTAATGTCACTTATTCTGAGCAGATGGAGTGCTTGGGAACACATGACTTCTGGAACGGTAAGAACCTAATTAATTAATCAATTAAGCTCATCAAGTTTCTTTTTCCTTCATTTTTTTTTCAATTTTTTTGTCCAAAATTAACTTCCCCGAATACACCAAACTTTAATTTAATTTTGGTTGCAGACTATCAAGAAAAGGCCTCAACACAAGCCTTCATACTTCGTGACAAGGCAGACGACCATGAAATAATCGTTGTGGCGTTTAGAGGAACTGAACCTTTTGATGCAGGGGATTGGTGTTCTGACTTTGACATCTCTTGGTATGAGCTTTCAGGAGTTGGGAAAATCCATGGCGGGTTCATGAAAGCTCTAGGTATGCAAAAAAATATGGGTTGGCCAAAAGAAATTGAAAAGCAAAACGACAACGACATGAATAATACAGAACGACAACCAGTTCTAGCTTACTATGCTATTAGGGAAACTCTCAAGGACCTCTTGAGTAAAAATGAGAAAGCCAAATACATATTGACAGGTCACAGTCTAGGTGGGGCCCTCGCAATTCTATTTCCAGCGATGTTGGTGTTGCATGATGAATCGTTTTTATTGGAGAGATTGGAGGGGGTTTACACTTTTGGACAACCTAGGGTTGGGAATGAGAAATTTGGGCAGTTCATGGAGAAACAATTAAGGGAAAACGACATTAAATATTTTAGATTTGTCTATGGTAACGACATGGTGCCTAGGTTACCCTATGATGATAAGGATCTTATGTTCAAGCACTTTGGTACGTGCGTTTACTTCAACAGGCACTACGAAGGAAAGGTAATTAATTAATTAATTAAACACATTTTTCTTAATATATAAATCAAGGCACTCTATATATGTCATTCTATTTCCGTAGAACTAGTTATAAATGTAACATCATACTAATAAGATTAATTTCTATTTCCTAAAAATAACAAAGCACGCTTTTGGGAATAAGATAAACGGTTAATTTATATTCTTCAAACACGAAACTGAAAGGATTTTAAGATCCAAAAATACTTCGAAACATATGGACATGACGACTAATATTGTTTTATCTTTATTTTTTTTTCTGTTTTATTTTGTATAACTCCTTCGTGCTCGTTTATATTCTTTTTTCCTTTAATTTCATTTGCTCTCATAATTCCGTATTTTTATATAATAAATTGGATGGAAGCTTGACGTAAAAAAATAAAATAAAGTAGCATTTTCTTAGACAGCATTTGGATAGACTATTTATTTTCTTTTTCCCCTTGTTCACTCTTTTTCTGTAAAAAAGAAGGATTCATTTTTCCTTTTTTTTTTCCACTAATTATATGAAGTGCCGTTTCTTTTATGGACGCTCCAGATTGTTGAAGAAGAACCAAACAAGAACTATTTTTCACCGCTAGGGGCAATACCCATGATGGTAAATGCATTTTGGGAGCTGATTAGAAGCTTCACAATTCCCCGCAAGAAAGGACCAGAATACAAAGAAGGGTCCTTCCTCAGATTGTTTAGAATAATTGGTTTGGTACTGCCGGGCATACCAGCTCATAGTCCTCAAGATTATGTCAACGCTACACGTTTGGGATCCTCGGATGTGTTCCTTACCCCCCAAGACCCTAATAATTCACCGGAAAATATTGTATAGGATATAACTATATATCCATGTTTTAGCAAGAATTTAAAGTAATTAATGCTTATAATAGATTTTAATGTTCCTAGTTTTAAATTGTTTCCTTATTTTGTACCGATTTTAGTGTTAGGTAGGTGTTTTTACGGAAATAGTATAAAATATGCCAATATGAAAAGCTTAAGAAAGTATAGAGGCCAACTTTTAATTATAAAAATTAATAGGCCATAATTTGTCAAGTTATGGTTCATAACCACATAAGTTATGGATAAACTTGTCAAGTTATGGTTCATAGCCAAACAAGTTATGGACAAAAACCGTGAATTATGGACAATAACTTATCAAATTATGGTTCATAACCAGATAAGTTATGGACAAAAATAGTAATTTGACCTATTTGTTAACTTATGTAAACTATTAGCCTATTAATTTTAATTCATCTCAAGTCTTGGCCTATTTCTCTCTTTCTCCCGTGTTTTTAGTCCACCAAATTTGTTTTTTAACGGTGCTTTGTATGGCCTTGGTGGTAGGTGCTATGGGTTTCTCAATTTTGGTGGATTGAATTTTTCCATCAATGGTAGAGGTTTTTTTTTTATTTTTTTTTATTTTTTAAGATCTATGAGTATGCTTGATTGTTTGTGTACACGTCAATATTCATTTTCTGAATAAGGTACACATTTATTTTCCTTGAGCATCATTCGAGCTTATTAGGGGAGCCGATTGTCTATCGTGGTCGTGATTTCATATAATTTGAGATCATAATATGAGTAATCATTGGTGTTTTTATTTCCTTATTTTGGAATACGTTCCCCTTTTCAAAAGAAAAACTGTAGTGCCGAGTATATGTTTTTTTATGGAGTTTTTAATTTTGTATGTGGTCCACTTAAAACAATGGGCTATCTAATGATATATCAGATTGTGGTTGTATTTGTGCCTTATAACATCTTTAATACAATGTTATAATTGATGTGCTAATTACAAATTTAACATTTAAGTGCAAAAAATACTCTTTAATACAATGTTATTTGTTGTGCCAAATTTCGCATATGTTAGAGAATCTTCAATGCAATGCTATAATTAATATGACAATTACAAATTTAACATTTGAGTGCAAAACACACTGCCCACTGCAATGTTATTTGTTGTTCTGAATTTCTCATATGTTATACTTTGTGTCAAATTTTTCACCAAATATAACATATGGGAAATTTGGCATTTGATTGTTATTGTTTGCAATGTTTACTTTTTCATATAATTTTTGCAACATTTTCATTTTCTAATTATTTTTAAAATAAAACACTAGTAGAAATCTGGTATTAAATGACAGTTTTTTCTCCAAACCATTTTTATCCGTCGTTAAAAATGACATCAGATGACAGTTTTTTTAGTAAACGGTCATCTAATCTCATCAAAAATAGAGTTTTTGGCGATCTAACGACGGTTTTTTATAAAACCATCGTCTAATCTCGTAAAAAATTATGTATTTTAATAAACCGTCGTTATATGTTCTTCCCAAATAAAAAAAAAAACTCGTGTTGTTTTTTTATTTTCCCATGGGTTGCCCTATGATTCCCGTGTGTTATCAGCTTTTTTTTCACAATTCACAGAACCATTATAACCGCAAAACAAAATATTAAATTTCTAAATAAAAATGAATTATAAATATTAAATAATACATCAATAAATGTAGTTTATGATTAATATTACAACAACATATTAATTAAATGTTCATATAAATTACAACAACATACAGTTTATCATTTTTTGTCTCTTTCTATTATTTTCAACACATGTCCATTCAACATCTAAAATGACAAGGTTTGAATCATCATCATCAAAAACATCAACATCGTTAACGGGTACCAAGCCTCTACTTACCGATGGAATATTGTTGCAATCATCATCATCCCCTTCTCCATCATGAATAGCTCTTGACTTCATGGAACAACTAAAGACAACTCCAAATCATTGGGATCGGTTGTACAAAAAACTTGTTTTGCTTAAGTTGCCAAAATAAAAGGATCGTTCTTGTAGCCCATTCTTCAAAAATTAATCACTGTAGCGTCGTTACTATCAACCTTCACCTAATTATTGCCGGCCCACTTACACATAAAAAGTGCCACTCACAATCAGCAGTAGTCAAGTTCCCATATATCCTCCACAAAACCGTAGTACGTCATTATTCAATATACTAGATTCTTGTCTTTTGCAGACAAAATATGCATAACATCGGCACAGAGACTAACACCAATATTTTAGACCGGGTGTTTCTCATCTCTCTCCTAAGTGTAGAAGGTATAGCCATTTAATGAGTATGACGTGTATTTCATTACTGCCGACGAGGGTCCTCCGACTAGTTTAAATAAGTCTTCTAACACACCTTCATTTCCTGACTTGCGAACCTTAGAGTAAATGTGTGTCCTTATCCACTATTTAAATGTCCGGTTATGTTCATCTTGCAATTACTTCTCATTTCTCTCTCTTTTTGGGTTTGCCGCTTTTATTTGTTTTTTGTGTACCTCTATGTATGATTCTGCCTCACGAGCATTATGTAGCACGTAAAGACAAACTTGTTCCCATGCTTCGCAAGGAATCGAGGAAGGAATACCGGCATATTTACCTTTTGGCTCTGTGTTTACCTTTTTTGGCAAACCAATTGCTTCCGCGTTAGACACGTACTCCAAGCAAAATTTCACATCTTCTTCGGCTATGTAACTTTCCACGAAGCAACCCTCCGGCCTATTTTAATTCTTAACATAGCCTTTTAGAATTTTCATGTACCTTTCGAAAGGGTACATCCACCTCAAGTATACTGGCCTGCAAAGTCTAACTTCACTGACTAAGTATACTGTTAGATGAATCATGACGTCGAAGAATGATGGTGGAAAATATTTCTCTAGCATGCACAAGGTCATCACCAACTCTAATTGTAATGTATCCAACATCATTGGATCTATTACCTTAGAACATATGGAGTTGAAGAAGTAGCAAAACTTAGCAAGTACAAATCTGATGTCCTTTGTTAGAATCCCACGCAAAGCAAGTGGTAACAGCTATTGCATTAAAGTATGACATCATGTGTCTTCATACTGATACGAACCCCGCCAACAACGTGACGAAACCCGTAACCAAATATGGGATTACGATTCAAGATCTTCAAGAATTGATGGAAATCGCGACCCGTTGTTTAGCAAAGCAAGAACCTTAGTATGGTGAATACGTCACAAACGAGTATGGAAATCCGTTTGATAAGTCAAGATTGAACGCCACAAGGAAAATCTTGATAAGTTCGGAATAGTTTCTTCAAGAACTCAAGAAGAATATCTCACAATGTGAATAAACATCAAAACTATTTTATTAGTCCGAATTTCAGCCTTAAATAGCCGAAAATAAGGTGAACAGTTTAAAAATTGTGAAAGTCCTAATCTACCCTTAATGAGGTAGATGCCTAAAGCAAGATAAACACCTAAAGATAAGATAAACATGTCTAAAGATAACTCCTAAGGAAGGAATCCGAATTTAACTCTAACTCCTTCCTTAAAAATGCCTAAAAGTTTATCCTAGGGAAGGAATCTGAATTTAAATCCAACTCCTTCCTTCTAAGCGCCTATTATGGAACTTAAATGTTTAAAACTAAAACTTAAATCTAAAAAGATAAGATTATGATCAAATCAAGTCTTGATCCGCAATCTAGACTTGATTCCTGACTGGAAAATACACTTACATCCTCTTGGACTCCCCTTTGCACGTGTAGCTTGGACTTACATGCATATTGGCCATGTAATGTCTCGATATCTCGTCACCGGACCAACTGAGACTTGAATTGGATAGTGAGTATTCCTTGCATCCCGGATGTTCTCATCACATACCAGACAGCTTTAATTTTTTCACCGCCACCAAGTTCTTAAAGTTAGATGAATACCTTTCTGGAACTTTGACAGAAGCAAGCCATTCACAAAATTTGTTATTCTCTTGTCTTGATAATGTGTACTTAGCTGGAGGTAAGTAAGTGCGGGAGCCTCTTTTCTCATGAGCCAAGTCACCTTTAATGTTCAATTCCATGATATCTAACCGTGCATTGAGGTTGTCTTTGGATTTATTAAGGATGTCAAGTAGCGTGCCAACTATCGACTCACAAACATTCTTCTCAATGTGCATGACATCCAAGCAATGGTGAATTAACAATGAACTCCAATATGGAAGATCGACGAAAGTTGACTTTTTGTTCCAAGGTCCGATCACTGGCTCATTAATTGTTCCTTTCTTCTCCCCGAATACCACTTTTACGTTGTTGACCATCTCAAACACTTGCTTATCTGTCAAAGATCTTAGAGATGGTCTTTCTTTTGTTTTACCATTAAAAGCTTTTCTTTGTTTGCGGTATTGATGATTCATAGGCAAGAATCTCCTATGGCCATCATAAGCCATCTTCTTTCCATGTTTTAACCGGATCGAAGATGTCTCTGTTATACAAATAGGGCAACCTACCAAACTCTTAATTGAGTACCCAGATAGGTTTCTATATGTAGGGAAGTCGTTAATGGTCCACATCAACATTGCACGGAGTACGAATAAATCATCACGGAAACGATCGTTAACTTTGATCCCACTTTCCCACAATCTCTTTAACTCGTTAATCAATAGTGCCAAGTAAACATCCATGTCATTTCTCTTTTGATTAGGTCTAGAAATCAACAAGGTCAACATTAGGAACTTTCGTTTCATACACAAGTCTGGCGGAAGATTGTAGTTTACAAGGATAATGGGCCAAGTACTGTGTTTGTTGCTAAAATTACTATGCAGATTCATCCCATCAACCGATAACGCAAAGTGGACATTCTTAGTTTATGCACTAAATTCAGGATTCTTGAAATTTTTAAAATAAAGAAAAAATTTTAAAATATTACAAAAATAGTGAAATTTTGATATCGTTAACTATATCATTATATAATATATAATGATTATATTATTTTTGCTATATTTATAATATTCTTGAAAATTTTGCTAAATTTTAAATTAAGGTAGGGAAATTTGCCCTATCACTTTAAGATGGGCCAGCTAATTTGGTCAGTGGGCTCATGCCCCACCCATGGTATGCACTCCCAAAGCCCAACACTCCTCCCTACTGTAGACTTTGTTAAAAGAGGAGAGAAATAGGCCCACAGCTGAGATGAGATCATCAGAGCGTGCGTGAAGGTCCCGAGCCAGCTCGAGCGAGACGAGAGAGAAAAAAGTGGGCGGTCTGTTATAGAAAGAGAGGGGCAAGAGAGAGAAAGAGCGAACTAGAGAGAGAGAGAGAGAGAGAATTGCGATTTGGGGGTTTGAAAGAAAGAAAAATCCAACACAGTTCCAGAAAAGGTCAGTGATGATTGAGTGCCTAAATTCCACAGATTTTGTCTCTGTTCTTTGTTTCTAATCGCTGTTTTTGTTTTAGCAAAAGCCAAAACCAAGAAAACCCAGAATTCTTTTCTTTTTTATGGCGAAAAAAATGGTGAGTTTGATTTGGTATTTGACGCTTGTGTGTGAGAAAGAGGTTGTGTGCTTATCATGTGCAGGGGTCGAGTGTGTGAGATTAGAGAGAGTCAGACGAGTGTGGTTAGAGCTAAATTTCAGATTTTTGAGTGTGGTTAGGGTTTCCTCTTTTCCGGTCCTCTCCGACAAATCTCATGGAGCGCAAGCTTGTGGTTAGTGGAAAATTTCACTCATTTATTTGTTTAATTTGTTGTTGAAAATGGAATAATTCTTTTTTTTTAATGTATTTTGTGATTTCAATTTGGAGTTTCTAGGTTCTGGGTATTCCGTGGGATGTTGATACTGATGGGTTGAGAGATTATATGACCAAATTTGGTGAATTGGAGGATTGTATTGTTATGAAGGTTAGCTAAATCTTGTTTTCTTTGTTATTTACGCTCAAGCTCAGATTTTTATCTCTTTTTGTATATTCTATTCTATAATTATTCATAATTCTATATGTTTGTTCTCTTTAGGAGCGGTCAACTGGTCGGTCTCGTGGATTTGGGTATGTAACGTTTGCTTCAGAAGAAGATGCTAAGGTTAGTGAATTTTTTTAGAGTTCGTTTTTTTTTTAATTATATATACATACATATATATATATATGTATGTATGTATGTATGTATAGTTGGTTGGTCGGGTTTATATAATTTGTTGTGTATGTTATCTGACATGGTTCCTACAGAATGCATTATCAGGCGAGCACTTTCTCAGGAACAGAATGTTGGAGGTTAAAGTGGCTACTCCAAAGGTTCGGAAATGCTAAATTCTTATCGGTTTAATTTAGTGTTCATGATTTTGGTTGTTTTGCGGATGATATAGTTTTAGTGGATGAACATAGGGAAGGAGTTAACCATAAGTTAGAACTGTGGAGACAGACTCTCGAGACGAAGGGATTTAAATTAAGTAGGACGAAAATTGAATACATGCATTGTAGGTTTAGTAACTCAAGTAATCAGAGTGATGGAATTTCTTTAGATGGGGTGGAGATTGGAGCTTTTAGAAAGTTTAGGTACCTTGGGTCTATAGTGCAGTACGAAGGAGATATAGAAGAGGATATTCAACATAGGATTAAGGCATGGTGGGTTAAGTAGAAGAATGCTACGGGAGTTTTATGTGATGACAAGATGCCTATTAAGTTGAAAGGAAAGTTCTATAGGACTGTAATCCGTCCAGCTATGTTATATGGTAGTGAATGTTGGGCCATTAAGAGACAGCATATATCTAAGATGAGTGTGGCAGAAATGCGTATGTTAAGATGGATGAGTGGCCATACGAGGATGGATCACATAAGAAATGAAGTTATTCATAGTAAAGTAGTTGTAGCACCAATAGAAGATAAGGTGCGCAACGCGAAGGCCGCTTGAGGTGGTACGGGCATGTCCAACGTAGATCGCTAGAAGCACCAGTTCGTGCTTGGGATGACATTCTTATACCTAATGCTAGGAGAGGGAGGGGTAGACTAAGAATTACGTGGACCGAAGTCGTTAGGAAAGACATTTTAGATCTAGGCATTCATGAAAGTTTAATTTCGAACAGAGTTGTGTGGAAAAGTGAAATCCATATAGCCGACCCCAATTAAGTTGTGATTAAGGCTTGTTGTTGTTGTAGAGTAATATGGCATCTATAATGATGGAAGTATTTGCATTAAAAGATTGGACTGCTATGGTCGATAGTTTCAGGAAGTTTACGTTTTTTTAAAAAACTTTTTTGCAGGAGGAAATGAGAGCACCTGCAAAGAAAGTTACCCGAATTTTCGTAGCAAGGATTCCGCAATCAGTGGCAAAAGCTACCTTCCAGAGGTAGTTTTGAGTTTTCTTTTTCTCTTTATTCGTTCATTTTGACTGGTGACCCTGGATGTGTGATGAACCTGATTGTTTTTGCATTTTCTTTTTGCAGTCATTTTGAGAAGTATGGCGAGATAACTGATTTATACATGCCAAAGGTGCTTTATCTTATTCTTATCCGCTGTGTGTATTCACATTTGGAACTTAGATTTACAGATGAATAGATGATAATTGTCTGGATGTGTTGATTACGTGTGTGAGTGCATTAAAATGAATGGAGCATGCTTAACTAACGTATCCAAACATGATTACGCACAATTCTCTACATGTAAGGCGTTTTGGAAGACCAGGTGCAAATACAATAGATATATATCATATAATTGTTGTAAATGTGGATGTGGTTCAGGATCAAGGCTCAACTACACATCGTGGAATTGGTTTTATCACCTTTGCAAATGCAGGTTAGGGCATTCGTTTCATAGGCGAATTTATAGTTTTATAATATCTTTCAATCCGGTCTACATTCTACAACAACAAAAAATACAAGCTTTAATTCCAAATTAATTGGGGTCGGCTATATGGATTTTTCATTTTCAATCTGCTTTATTAAACACGAGACTCTCCTGAAGCCCTAAATCTTGAAAGTCGTGCCTAACTACGTCAGCCCAAGTAATTCTTGGTCTACCCATCGCTCTCCTAGTACTAGGTATTTGGATGTTCTCTCAAGCACGAATAGGTGCATCTAACGATTTACATTGTACATGTCCGTACCACCTCAGATGGTTTTCCTGCACCTTGATCTTCCATCAGTGCTACACCTACTTTACTACGAATAACTTCATTCCGTATGCGATCCATCCTCATATCACCACTCATCCATCTTAACATACGCATCTCTGCCACACTCATCTTGTATATTTAGTCTCTTGATGGCCCAACATTCACTGCTGTTGTGTGGGAAAATACAACTACCATATAATATAGCTGGGCGAATTACTGTCCTATAAAATTTTCCTTTCAACTTAATAGCATCTTATCATCACATAAAGCTCCCGTGGCATTCTTCCACTTAACTCACCCTGCCTTTATCCTATGTCCAATATCCTTATCTATATCCCCTTCACTAAGCACTATGGACCCAAGGTACTTAAATTTCTTAGAAGTCTCAATCACCACACCATCTAAAAAAATTCCATCACTCTGATCTTTCAAATTACTAAACCTACAATGCATGTACTCAATCTTCGTTCTACTTAACTTAAATCCCTTCGTCTCAAGGGTGTCTCTATAGTTCTAACTTACGGTTAATTCTCTCTCGATGTTTATCAACTAAAACTATATCGTCTACAAAAAGCATACACCAAGGAATTCCATCTTGAATTTCTCTTGTCAGCTCGTCCATCACGATAGTGAAAAGATAAGGGACTAAGAGCGGAACCTTGATGAAGGTCAATCCGAATAGGAAACTCTTCCGTGTAGCCTCCAGTAATTCTCACACTTGTGACAGTTCCATCGTATGTATCATTTATTATCTTTATATACCTCATATGCACTACTCTCTTCTCTAGTACTCACTATAACACTTCTCTCGGTATCCTATCATATGTCTTTTCTAAATCTATGGAGACCATATGCAAATCTTTCTTAGCTATTCTATACCTTTAAATCAGCATCCTAAGAAGAAAAATAGCCTTCATGGTTGATCTACCAGGCATGAACCCAAATTGGTTACCTGAGATGGTAGTTGTGGCCCTTAATCTCTTTTCAATAACTCTCTCTCAAAGCTTCATAGCCCTATAGTTGTTACAATTTAGCGCATCTCCTTTATTCTTGAAGATGGGAACGAGAATACTTTTTCTCCAAGCATCGGGCATATGCTTCTTCTTTAGTATCCCGTTAAAAAGCTTAGTGAGCCATTTAATTCCAACCTCTCCTAACACCTTCCAAACCTCTATTGGGATATTATCTGGCCCACATGCTATCCTGATTTTCCTACCTTGTAATGCAGTTTTAATTTCTGAAACTCTGATGCCTCTTGTAGACATCACATTTGGTTCGCCTTAGTACCTAAGATCACGAAACCCCATTGCATGATTTTCATTATAAAGTTTTTCAAAGTAACTCTTCCACCTCTCCTGAATATGTTCATCCTTCATCAGAACTTGATCTGTATCATCCTTAACACATCTCACTTGATTTAGGTCTCGACACTTCCTTTCTCCTATCCGAGCTAGTTTATAGATATCCTTCTCTCCTTCTTTAGTCCCAAGTTTCCTATACACCTCATCCAAATAAGTAGGTCGAACCTTATTAACTACTCTCTTAGCTTCTCTCGTCGCTTCTTTGTACTTAATAAAAAGTCTCGTCATCCTTACACTTTGGTAGCTCTCTATATAAATCCCTCTTGGTCCTAGTAGCATTTTGAACTACCTCACTCCACCACCAGATTTCCTTTCCCAGAGGGCTTTTACCTCTAGATACTCCTAGTACCTCCTTTGCCACTTTTCGAATGCAACTCGCAACGGTGTCCCACATAGTATTTGCATCACCTTTGCATAACCAAGCAGCCTCCTTTAACAACTTCTCCATAAAAGTCAATTTCTTTATTCCCTTTAAATGCCACCAACGAGTTCGTGGGAGGTGATTTATCTTAGTCATTCTATGGTAAAGCCTAATGCTCACATCTAGGGTTACTAACCTATGTTGGTTGGCTAACGCTTCTCTAAGAATTACTTTACAATCCTTACAGAGCAAACGATCTCTGTACCTTGTGAGAAAATAATCTATCTGGCTCGAGTTTCTTCCATTTTTAAAAGTGATTAAATGTGAATCTCTTTTCTTAAAGAATGTGTTGGTTATAACAAAGTCGTGTCTCAATGTAAATTCCAAAATAGATTTCCTTTCTTCGTTCCGAGCCCCAAAACCAAAACCACCATGAATCCTCTCGAAATTTTCTTTATCCTTACCAACATGTCCATTTAAATCTCCTCCAATAAAAATGCTACCCTCATTACTTATACTACGCACTGAGTCATCCATGTCTTCCCAGAACTTGATTTTAGTTTCCTCATCCAATCCTACTTGTGGAGCATAAGCACTAATTACATAAATGAACTTCTCCCCTAACACTAATTTGATCCTAATAATTCTATCACCTAATCTCTTAATCTCAACCACTTCATCTTTCAAAGTTCTGTCCACTAGAATGCCAACTCCATTGTGATTCCTTTCCCAACCTGTGTACTTTAACTTATGTCCTAGGTTTCCAATCTCTTTTGCCTTCTCTCCCGTCCACTTGGTTTCCTGTGAGCATAAGATGCTAATTCTTCTTCTTAGCATAACATCTACTAACTTTATAGATTTACTGGTTAAAGAACCTACATTCCAACCACCTAGACGAATTTTCCTATTATGAACTAGCTTTGCCCCCTGCACACGTCCATGAATGTGCAAGGATCCCCCCTTGCATATTTTTCACCATATCCGGAGCCCGACATGGTGCATGGGCTAGCTTCTCCCCCCGCACACGTCTATGAATGTGCGAGGACCCCCCTTGCCTATTTAACACTATACCCAGGGCCTAACATAGCGCGTCACACGTGGGGAACGCCCTAACAGAGTCTGTAAATGAGAAACCCATGTAGAGTGACATATTTTTACGTTGGCTGTCAAACTACCACAACCTTTCTCCTTTACCCTGGCTTAGGACCGGCTATACGAATCACCGTATAGGCGGAGTTGGTCTACATTCTACAACATTAGACAATGAATTAGTTTGTATAATATTCTAGTTTAGATACTTATATTGCCTGTCCTGACTCCTGGTTACCATTGATAAGTAGGATTTTTGTACTTGATTACCTATAACTTGCCGAGTATAAATTATGAGGACATATCATTAAGTAAGCATGTGTCGTCTATTTTGCAGAGTCTGTTGATAATTTGATGGCTGAAACTCATGAGTTGGGAGGTTCAACTGTAGTTGTTGATCGAGCAACACCTAAGGTAAATTTACAGCGTAACTAGTTTTAAGGATATCTTTTACTGGGGATAAATACTTCTTGTTTGCAACTGTGTTTATATCATGAAGAGCTTAATGATTCCATCTACACATGTTATTTTATCAGGAAGATGACTTTAGGCCAATTGGCAGAATGGCACAGGGTGGATATGGTGCATACAATGCATATATTTCCGCTGCAACTAGATATGCAGCACTTGGTGCTCCTACCTTATATGACCATCCAGGAACAATGTATGGAAATGGAAGTAAGTATGATAAACGTATATTGCAATTTATGCTTGCAATAAATGGTCCAAGCAATGAATTTTTCTTTGTCCTGTTGAATTAGGAGGGGAATCTACTCGAGGATTGGGAAAGAAGATCTTTGTTGGCAGGCTTCCGCAGGAGGCAACAATTGAAGATCTTCGCCAATACTTTGGTAGATTTGGCCGAATATTAGATGTCTATATTCCCAGGGTAAGTTGCATTTATCTGTAATGAAAGTTTAAGGAATCAAACTCTTAAATTTTGTTGGTAACATGTAATGACGTCAATGAGTAATGTAGGACCCCAAGAGATCTGGCCACAGAGGTTTTGGATTTGTAACGTTTGCTGAAGATGGTGTAGCAGATCGTGTGTCACGAAGGTCTCATGAAATATGTGGACAGCAGGTATTATGTTGTATTATAGACTTGAATTATATAGGCGGTCGGCTAAGTGTCGTAATTTACGTTCCGACTAAAATTCATCATGTTGACCTACCTATTGAAACTTCTAAATTGTTGTTTTTCTTTTCAGGTTGCAATAGATACCGCCACACCTGTTGATGATGCCGGGACCAGTGGAAATTTTGTGGTGAATAGTGCAGAAGCCTTTGGGGGCTATGGTGGTCCCATGCGCACCTATGGAAGGATGTATGGAAGTCTTGATTTTGATGACGTGAGTACATTTGAATGCGCTGTGTTATTGTTTTCTTTGCCAAAGATATTTTATTCATAACTTTCACATTGGAAGGTTTTTTCTTTTTCTTTTAACCTCGAAGTATGTTCGTTGTCTGAAATTCTGAATGCCCAACTTTCTTTTCTTAGTCTCTACTAATATGTTGCGTGGTGCATTGTTGCTTTGCAGTGGGGTTATGGAATTGGCAGTGGGAGACCGTCCAGAGCAGATTGGAGGTACAGGCCATACTAAGGACCTTTCGGCCCTCTTCTTTTGGCTATAAATAATCCATACTAACAATTTATTACTATTTTATCATAGTTCAATTTCCTTCCGAACAGTTTTATGTGTTATAATTAAGCGGAATTTTAGTTGGAAAGGATTGATAATCGAATCCCGTTATAGTAGTAGTAGTAGCCTGTGAGCATTTTCCGGTCAACTGTTACTCGTGGACAGGAAAATGGCAGGATTGGTTTGGCTTCTTGGAAAGCCTGGCCAGATCGATTGTAGGACACTTGTAATCAATTGAATCTAAGTCAACATTTACTAATACCTTTGGACGTTTTACCGCTACGAAAGGTTAAACTATGGAATGTAGCATACCGTTAGTTATAACATCTAGTTTTTGGATTATCAAAAAAAAAAACCATATAGTTTTTGGGAAGAATACTAGCATGGAAAGTGGAAACCATCACAAGATTGTTTTTCGATAAGTGTTATCTGGTCATTGAAGTCGTCTTTAATTACTTGATTCAAATATTCTCAACAAGTGTCTGTGCATGCATACTTGGGTTCATTTAGTTCGTGTGTTTACGTCAGTGATTCATTTATTAGCAGGAATATTGTGAGAATGAATTTTTGAATTTAAATTCTGTGAGATAAAAAATACTGAAACAGACTTATAATTATGATTTGAATATATGTACCAAACGGGGCCTTGATGTTTGTACTCTGGTATGTGTAATGTGTGTGATTACAATTTACAAATGTGTTACTACGACTGGGAGAGGCTACATTCACCACTCAACCAACAAAAACAGCATTGACCGGAAACATCAATTGTAAAACGGCATTATCAAAAACTAACTGAAGAAACGACAACTTAAAAACGTCATTGATGGCACATTAACCTCATAAAACGATCTGGCGGAAGAAATGATGTGATTAATATGAACGACGAAAAACTCATAGGGCGGGCACCACGCCATCTTTCTTTCCTTCTTTCTTTCTTCTTTCTTCCCCCTCCCCCAGTAAACTACGCCGATCTTTCAAAGAATTAAAAAAAAGGGCGACATGATAGGGAAAACGACGTTACCCTAACCAACATTGAATATGAAAAAATGGCATGAAATGATGAAATCAGCCTGAAACGACATAGATACTGGAAGTGAAATAACAGCAGTAAACGTCAATAAAACCATAATTGGCAATTCATTGGACAAATTACACTAACTGGATAGAACACAATGACCCCAGTAGATGATTTTAACGGCGAAAAAAGAGATAAATAACTTGCCAAGAGAGCAATCAATGAAAGCAATATCGATCACAATACACGACATCAAAATAAAACGACATCAAATGTAACACATCAAATAGGAATGAATGTAAATATAAAAAAATTACATTAATTTGGCAACGACACAGACAATGACACCAACTAGACAAAACAACAATGATCTCAACAAACGACAGTGATTGGCGAAGCAAATGACCTAAATACTAAAAAACGACAATAACTCAACAAACGACAGTAACTGGACAAACGACAATAAAGTCAAAAATGATGTTGACCTGAAAACAACATCACTTATGTGAACGACAATATTTTGAACATCGAGAAACTTCAATTTTTTAGCAGAAAATAAATCTCAATATTTAAAATATATAAATAATTGTAGAGCAATATTTGAGAATAAATTTTCATTTAGAATTAAGACCGATTGTACGTAGAGGTCGAAGTAAAATCTATTGTTCATCAAAACATCCACCCACTTTCTCTATAGACTGAATCTGACTGATCCAAAAACAAGTTTTAAATTTTTTTTTTTTTTTTTTTTAAACAATACGATGCATAAAAGCCTAAGGCAACCAAAAGAGTTCAAAACAGCCCCAAAAAAAAAAAAAAAAAAAAAAAATTCTTTTTGGCAACACAACAAAATTATCTACAGGAGTTGCTAACTCAAATAGTATGAAGTGTTCTTGTGCAGTGCAAGCCACCAGAAAACCCCACATCCACAAGCTGATTCAATCTTTTCCTTTTGGTCCTCATCCAAAACTCCAAAGAATTTAAAAACAAAAGAATTGCTTAGATGACAGAAAGCAAAAGAAGCCAATTCACTTTCATATTACCAAAAACGCTCCATGGTTGTTACTTGTTAGCTGTGGAAGAGAACAGAATGATGGCTGAGGAATTAGAAGGCGCGGCACACAAAGAAGCGGCTGAGTGATCCGACCAAAACGTGCTTTCGGAATGTCAAGAACTTGTGTGGAGTCGCGGCAACCTCCTGATGCTGATCATGGTGATCCGATGACAATTTGCTTCTCATTTTGTGGGCTTTGAACTGTGCTGTTCTGAGCTTGTCTATGATCTTATCCATAGTCGCCGATCTCTTCTTTTCGAGTTTCATCTGAACAAACAAGTTAAGGGCAGGGATGCAAAAATCATTATCCGTTTCTTATCCATGTCAAACTTGTCAATATTTGAGGAGTACAATTATATATCAGTTTCATGATGTATCATGAGACTATTTTCTGTGATTTGTATTATTTTTCTTCAATCATAATAAACTTGGATAAAAGAAATGGACCTCAAGTTTTCGTATTGAAGCTTCAGCCTTTGCCTTCTGTAAATTCTCCCACGCTGTAATTTTTGCTTCCTCTCTTTGCACCCTGCACATTTACATTTTTATTTTTATTTATTTTTTTTAAGTTGTTGGCAAAATTATCTGTCTGTATACTTGTTTGTGTATCTTCCTAGATTTTCAAGCATGTTAAAGTATCTTGAAATGTTGTGACATTTCTGTACTAGGCACAAACAGTTTTCTTAGGCTAAAACATTTCAAAAATAAATTGAAATCACTTTTTGGTTTAGAGTTTAGACGACTTGAGTCCTAAACAAGAATTTTGGAGCATTTAAAACAGCCTATATTGCTATTCTTTTAGAAAGTACTGATTTTCCAACTCTGTTTTTAAAAAGTGCATTTTGCTGAATGATTTTATCTGAATTCAACAGTACTATTCCAACTAAGGAAGCCTTGGATTACAAGCAAATTTTTATTTTCATCATTCTGTAATAGATTCTTATTCTTGTATAAGACCATCACTAATACAAACGCTAATGCCAATATTATATTTTGCTCCGAAAAAATAGCATATTTAATATGTTATTCTATTTTATGCTCTGATGCATAATATTATTCTAAATATCATGTTTATAATTATTTTTTTATCGTAAATCTTATGCTTTAGAACTTACAAAAGGAGTATGACATATACCAAATTTGACGTTAAGTATTCTTAAAATTTGACATTGCTCTCTGAGTTCTTACAGCTAAAGACACAACAGAAAAATAATGCTGAAAAAAATCTTAAACATACTTTGAGTTGTTCATGGCTGCTTCAGAAACATCCAAAGAAGAAGATGACACTCCTATAGCATTTTCACCAAAGTCGTTAGCATCAGACTGATCTTTCTTACTCATTCTACTTCCGCGTTTTTTCGACCATCGGATCATGGTGGCTCTTTTGTCAACCTGCACATCTTTGACTTCCATCTTAGCAGAGTGATTACTCTGCTGCTCCATTATTGAAAGGAGAGCTGAAGGAAAGGAAGCAAATGAAGACCTTCCCATGGTAGAGGAGACGCTGCACCTGCAATCCTTAGGGCTCATTTGGGTCGCCATGTCTCGCTGCAAAACGGCACGAGAAGCCCAGGTCTCCTCATTCTTCTCTGCTCCATTGTTCTTCATCTGTAACATTCTATCCACAATGACAATCTAACATGTTTGGTTTAAATGAATAGAGGCTTTAACTTTGCCGGTTTTTCGAGCGGTCATGGATGGTTTTGGTTTACTCATCTAGAGCTTATAAGAATTGTATGATGGAAAAGTGGGAGGACAGATAGGGAGAGAGGATTAGTAGAAGAATTTCGGGACCTATAGTTGTTTGGTATAAGATAAAATTGGACGGGGAAATTTAAATACGTCGAAGACCTTAATTTTAATCTCACTCAATATAAAAGAATCAAAGATCTTTTCTTTACATTGTCCGAAATAGATAATATAACTTTCTTTCCTTTATAAATTTTTTCTCTCTTACCAAAATGTTGGTAGCAGAGAGAGGGAGAAGAAAGGTACTAAAACTTGTCAGCCTAGTACGAGAACACAATACAAGCAATCCTAGAACAAAAAAGAACATAGTACCTTGGGAGAAGGGCAACCATTACTCTCCCCCATTTCAGGCCATCCAGGAATACTACTAGCCAATCTTTTCAGCGGTCCTCCTCCGCCGCCGTACAAGCTTTCGGCAGCCAAAACTCCGGTGGAAAACGGGGAATGAGAATTGGAGTAATAGGCATTACTAGTACTGTTTGCAGTTTGCACAATTGGACCACTCTTGGACTTTGGCCTCTTCTGAGGCTGAGAACTCAAGCTCTTACTATTAGTACTAATGCCATATCCAGAGAGAGGGCTGCAAATCCACCTCTCTGCGTCCTCCCACTTGGAGGGCAATGTCCTTCCACTGTTGAACGTCATACCAATCTGCCGCCCTCCGGCAGCCATCTGTGGCGGCGGCACGCGTTCCGAGGCCCAACCCTTTTGGTAGCCGATGCTGCTGCCGCGGTATTGTGGAGCTCCGGGGCTTGGGAATGTGCCAAGATCATGGGAAGCAGAACGTTTCCTCATACTTAATTGCTCGACCACAAGATTAGTTTGTGTTGGTTATGTGAAAACATACATAATAAATGCATATATATATATATATATTTGTTGTGATTGAGAAAATCATATATTCCCGTTCCGTTCGCTAATTTAAATTTTTAATTTGAGTTAAGATATAATGTTGTGTGAGAGTTTTTTATTGTAATAAAAAAATTAAATGTGACTATTTCTGAAAATTTTTTACTATAACAAAACTTAAATTCTGAACTCGAATCAGCGAAAAGAATAAGACTGTTATTTTTCTGCTATCTCATACAGCTGTAAGAGTTTAGCCAGTTTGCAAGTTTTGGCCTTGTTTTTGGGTGGCGTCGACATTATTTTGAAGTTTTTGAGTACGTCCGTTTGATTTGATTGGACCACTTGGAACTGGGATCGTTTGAGTTTATATAAAAAGGATAACTTGTTGGCTTCATGCCAAATTTGGGATCAGACAGAAATAGTTCACTGTGTAAAGAAGACAAACTGGGGCATTATTTAAGACGTACGATTTGAAGGTAGGGAGTATAATTGCAAAATTGACAACAACAAATTTTACTTTACTTTTACTTTTGACCTCTGTCGTACAGGTGTCATGTGGAGGATTTTTTAGTGTCTGCTGAGATAAGATTTGGATTTTGTTTCTCATGTGTATGCATGACTGGGATTCGTGGACCCATAGTCCACATTATTGTATTTGAGCATCTGTTTACTGTAATTCTTTTCTCCATTGCTTTGACGATATCAAAAACTTTTATAAGTGCAGGCTATTTCATATCAATATCATATAATATACTTATATATAAATTTTTAATAATAAAATTTTTTAAGCCCCCACTAGTCATACACTAGCTAAGGCCATGCATCAAAGGGTCTCCTTTTGCGGTAAGAGTTCTTATTTACGGTGCATGATTTTGAACGTTAAATAAAATGGAAAAAAAAAATGTAAAATTGATAAATTATATAGGTTTAACTGTTTAAAACAGAGTCATACTACTCTACTGTAGAATTATCCTGTAAAAAGAAACAAATTGTTGTCGTTTGGACTAGTCAACGACTCAATCAGAGTCAAAACAAGGCACAGTTCAATTTTCAGTTAGAAGTACATAGAACTGTAAATTCCAATACAACACTATTCTTTTGTCCACCAGAAAAAGAAACACTTTTCTCACTGTTCTTTTTTTCTTTTTCTTTTTCTTTTTTCCTCATGAAGAAATACTATTCTTTTATCACAATATGATAGGAAATGTTACTGAGCTATAGTGTCGATATTAAAAGATACTAGTTTGTTAATTTAAATTTTTAATTTAAATTGATATGTGATTTTATATAAAAATTTTTTACTGTAGCATAAAAAGTTAAATGTGATTTTTTGTGAGAGCTTTTAACTATAACAAAATTAAAATTAAAAATTTAAATCGGTGAAATGAACGAGTCTCAAATAAATCATTAGAATATTGGCTATGTATACTGTCGTTTACCATGATACCAATATATAATAGCAAATGAGCTATCCCTTGTGAAAATAATAGATAATAAAACTATACAGTAAACGGATGTTAACTTAACTCTTTATAAGTAATGTCATTATTTTGAGTGATTTTTGAATGGATTATATAAGTACTTATGCTTCACAAACTGTTTTTCCGTACATTGCTGTTAGAGACTTGGAGTTCTGTAGATCAATCATGTGATATTTTTTAAAGCATATATTACACTACGAGAGTAATAAATACAGACTCTAATATTACAGACTCTGTTTTAGATGTTGCTCTCGTTTCTTTACATGTGTCTACTACTTTTTTAAAACTATCAAACCTAATAATGTCATTTTTTTAACCTTAATTATAAGAGTGCCACCACTTTTGAACTATTTCTGCACTTATTATTTTACAGATATGCACTTGACGTTTTTTGTGTTCGCTGTCTAGTTTTGGTTTTAGATTTCTACGGATGATGTAGCATAGTCTAGTTAAATATATATAATCTATGTATTATATATATGTTTCTTAGGTAATAAAAGGTTTAATTTTTTTTATCATAATAGCAAAAGGTTTAATTAGTACCCAAAAAAAATACTTAGATTTAATTTAATATTGCTCTGCGTTGGTGTTTTCAATGTTTTGCATAAAACTGATTTTAAATTTTGTAAATAATAGATGAAAAAAAAAAAGGTTTCAATCCTCTAAATTATAGGTGAAAAAATTAATGTAAATATTTGTAAATAGTTAGTGCATAAAAAGTATGGGATTAAAGAGAAGATGGTACTCTTGTATTTATGGTTGAAAGATGTCACTTATAATTAAGTTTGTTGGTTTTAGAAAGGGTATTTTACCCCTAAAAAAGGGTGTTTTACACACTTACTCCTTAAACTTGTATGCCTTTAGCAATTTGCCCCCTGAAATTTTAATTTTGATAGTTGTCCTCTCAACTTGTAAAATTTTTGCAATATGCCCAATTTTAGAGGGTTGATTGTCAAAATTGAAAGTGATAATTGTGTTGAATTAGTGTCGAAAAATATGTTCAACGAAAAACTCTAACATCCCAATTCAAATGTAACACAAATTTTTAAATTCCTCAACTTTTGATCCCTTACATTTAATAAAAAATTTGAACAAATTTAGTAAAATTAGGCATATTGCAACAATTTTATAAATTTAGGGCATTGATTGTCAAAATTAGAAGTATGAGGGGTAATTTGTTAAACTACGATAAGTTTGGGGTCAATAGTAATAAAAATTCTAAAAAATATGATGACACATGTCAAGAAAATAGAGTGTCATTTGAAAGAAAGTCTACAATAGAGTCTGCATTTAGCATTCATTGTTATATAATATATGCAATAGAGTGGGAAAGTGACATGAAAGAAATTAAAGGGATTTTAGAGTGGAAAAAAGAAAAAGTGGAGGAAGAGGAGAATAAAATGTTGTTTGGTTAAAAGGACATTAAGAAGGACCCCTTACTTTTGTTTAATCAACTTTGAAAAGATAAGTGGAGATAAAAATATTTGATAAAACAAATAGGGTTCTAAATAACCCACTTTCTCATTTAGTGTAAGGAACTTTCAATGGTATGTTTGTTTATATCTCACGAAAAAAAAATATATACAAAACTGATAGAATCTGAATAAAATTCTAAAGGTTGAGATAATACTCAATTAGTAAGAATTTTTTATTGTATCCAACTAAAAAAGTTCTCATTTGTAATTTTATATAAGAATATAGCATTGAACAAACTTATATAGACATTTTTTTTCCTACCTTCTCCTTCTTCTTCTATCAAATACTATAAAAGTAAAACTATCTCATTCTTTTTTATTTTCTTCTCCTAATAGTTTTTATTTTCTTCTTTTTCCTTCTTACCAAACATAATAGAGAAAATTTATGGTGGAAGTAAAAATGTGTTTTTATTCCACCAAAACAAACTATTGTATTGGATTTTAAAGGTCAAATCTATCCATGCTAGCATTAAAAATTTTTAGTCACACATAATTGTCTTCACTTTAAATCAGACTATTAAAAAACTAATCTAACAACAAAAATACAGTTTATACTGATAAAGTAAAATAACATTCTTCACAATAAATATAGCCAAAATAATAATGTTAAAACGTCAACCCAATTTCAGTTTCAGTTTGATGTTCAATGCTTCACTAGATGACATTGATTTTGTAATAGTTTGAAGTGGGCCCACGGGGTCTCCCTGGGCGAGGAGTGTTGTGACATTTAATGGACGTTTAGTTTATAAATTTAAAATTATTTTTAATTTATGTATATTTTTTTAAAAATATTATAATAAATTATAATTTATAATTTAAATTATAGTACGAATTTACTAATCATTTTACGTGTGTCCTTGTATTTCATGAATATTGCTCGCTCAATACAGAGTTTTATGATGCATGCAGGTTGAATTCGAGGCAATGCTTAACTTGAAACATATTATTATGATCAGTATGACTCATTATTTATTTATATATTTATTTATTGTTGGTATACTTTTACATTCATTGGTTATTGCGAGGCACTTATTATTGGCATGGTGAAGGTTAATTGGATATGAGTTCATCTGCTCATGAGCTGGACAGCTGGGCACTGCCCCATCATACTGTGTGGCCTAGAAATTCTCGAACTGTCAATATTCAGATAATAATATGAGAAAATGATCGCTTTTTATATCTTTAATTCAACAATATTATTAATTTATTTATTTTATAATTACTGATATAATATAATTTTAAGTACACATTTTTTTATTTGGGTGGTTGTGAATTTATATAACTGAATTTAAAAGGTAGTTAATTAAGAATAGAAATGTCATTACTTATTATTTTACAAATTTATATGTAAATATAACAACTTGTAGACATTCTTTTTCATCTACTGTAAAATAGAGATATATGTAATTATGTCAAAGAAAAAATGCCTCAACCTTTGTATTGTAATATATATAATCAAACTTTAGTGTCCTCAGAAATTTCATTCGATACTAGCTAGGCAATTGTTTGTGTTACATTCAAACTGTTTGAAGTAGAGGCAACGACATTAGTTCAATTAAGTGCGATATAAGAGAAATGATTCAATCAGAGTTGTTAAGTCAGGAAAGGAAACGTTGCAGCTCTAGCTAAATTGGATGATATGAACCATATATTTTGCGGTGAAATTAAGTGTGAAATTATTGTCAAACTACGTAAAGATTATGTGTGAAATTATGTCAAACTACAAAAAGATTGTGTTTTTTTTTTTTTTTTTTAAATATTTGCTGAGTCTAGATAATATTTTTTTAGTCCAAAGGGAAAATGGTATGATGGAGCTGAGAACAATGGGAAAAAAAAATAAAAGAAAAGAGGTTATGAATTTTGATACAGGACTATATGGCAATATCTGATATCCCTACGTTTAAATACTTCTTTTTTCTTTTTTCGCTGGAAAATATTGATTTATTGGGAGAATATTAGTTTTTCTTTTCTGTTCAGGATATCTATATCTAGATATCTATAACTTATATAGAAGAGGGGATGGCTTTTGTACTTCAACCTTTGATTGAATCTAATCTAACGGTTAGTATTTATTCTCTGTCCACTTAGTCCAAATCTATTGCTACAAATTTAATCTACATGGCTCATTTATTTTCTCACACATTTTTTTTTCCTTTCTATAAGATGGGAGAATGGGTATAAATTGGCTTTTCCACTCCACCTTATGCTTAGCTTTTATTCTCTTTTGTTTTTTTTTTTTTTGTTTTTAAAAAAGAAATGATGTACTTGATATGCTTTTTTATATTAAAAATGTTGTCTCTAATTTGCCTATCAAAATACTTTTTTTTTCCCCCAAATATATCTCAACTGAAATATTTTTCACTCCATCCTCTAAAATAAATATATTGTCAAATATGGTTCTCAAAAAAAAAAAATTTTTTACAAAATTTTCCTCATTGATATATTGTTTTCTCTAATTTTCTCTTCATTAAAATTCTTAATATAAAAGATTATTTTTTATTAAAAAAAAAACTAAAGAACAAAGTGCCGTAGGCACATTACAATACTAGTGTCAACAAAGAATTACCTTTCTTTTTCAACTTATTTATTTATTATTATTATTATAATATTTATCCTATGATTTCTCCTTTTTTTTTTTTTTTTTTTTTTTTTTTTTTTTTTTTTTTCCCCCCTTTTTTTTTTTTTTTTTTTTTTTTTTTTTTTTTTTTTTTTGCCCGTCGTCGTCTTTTGCTTCAAATCACTTTGTCTAAATACTCCCCATCTCTCAGCCAATGTTGTATCTATAATTTGTGTCTTGCTCTATGAACATAAAATGATCTAAAGCAGACAAGGAACGTGGAAACTGGAGAGGAGGGGACCATGATTCTCCTATAAGGGCTTATTACATGTGCACATCTACTGAATGTGTCTTCCTTTTTTTATTATATTTTTACCTCTCTAATTAGAAAGGAATTTTATTTTTTATTTTTTATTTTTTCACAACTGGCTTTTGGCCTTATTTCGATGAGGAAAAAGGTTCAATCATAAATCCTCTACTAGATCATCATGCGCATAATTGATCATCCAAACCAACATGCTTCTTTCTCTTCACGACATGCCATGTTTATCAGCAGAACAGCCAAGTAGAAATCAATCTTTCTTTTGTCTTTTTTTTTTTTTTTGATATATGGAATTAGCTTCTTATATTTGAAGTTTTCCTGGGCCTGTTCAATTGGTCAAGGTCAAAAGTTTGTGATAGATTCATGCAATGTAACATTGAACTGGGGAATTTCTAATTTTTTGTATGAAACTTTCTCGGTGTTCTCTCTCTTTTAGAAATATTGGTGTTTCAAATTAAATTAAAAAGGTAATACATATCTGACAGCTGCTAAGTAAGAATTACCGATGTTTCTAAATGTACAGAGAACAGTAGAGAAATTTCCTTTTTGTAATAATAAAAATAGTCCAATGCATTATTAAATAAATTTTCCATTTCCATGATCAAGAAAACTCGAAATATCTAAATGAAAATACTAGACACAAAATAGAGAGATGATGATGAATGAATGGTGTCAATGAAGTGTTGCGTGTTTAATTTGCAGCCAGAAACATATGGAAAAAGGCTGGACTAGATATTTTTTAGTTTATGAAAAAAGTATTTCAAAGTCCAATTTTATTTTGAGAAGGAGATCCTAATATTTGGCATTGGATCCTATCCAAAAATATAAAAGCATCGCATTCATAATTAATTTTTCCATTTACTCAAAGCGTATGAATGAATGAACATAATTAAAACCAATTTTGGATATTTTAATTGGCAGTTATTTTCTGATATTTCACTTGAAGCACATAACAATCATACCTAAAGACCGGGAAAAAAAAAAAATCCAAAACCATTTTGTGGTGAGAGCATGTTGCTTCCCCAAGTTTTTCTAGTGTGTTACGTGGGTCATGCAGAAACTCAACCATAAAATTCGGATGGGCCCTGATGGAGGATAGTTGGGCCCGAACCAAAACTAAGGTATAAGTCCAGGCCCAACTATTATTTCGCAAAAATACAGATGACACGTGTACACAATTAACCACCACGATCTGGAGATGAGCGGCCAGGATATTCTGCAATCCACGTCCACCAAGACGTGTCCATTTATTGGAGATTGCACCACCACCGGCCCGGGTACAGCGACCAAGGACATTGTCCTTTGTTGCGTGGGAAAAGAAAACACGCTAACATTATGTGACGAAATGAACATAATAATCCACTTTATTGGAGATTGCACCACCACCGGCCTTGTACCGACTACCGCGTTTCAGTGGTTTACTGTTAGAAAATTCATTTCCTACATTTTTTTTGTTGGAAATGGGAGTACCAATTTTTTGTTGGTAGAAAATGGGAGTATATCAATTTATAGCCAAATCATTTGGCCCAAATGAAATAAGGAGGGGAAAAAAAAATTCAGAAATATCAGTAAAAATGGTAAAAAGAAAAAAATTAGTTATATCATTTCTCTTAAAATAAACAATTGACCTTTAATTACACTTAATTATTTAAAATAATATAAACAATAAATCTGTATAAAACCATTACAAACTATTTACTTTTTCTTTTTCATTTTTAAAGGTACTACTAAAATTGCATGTTGGTGTTTTATTCAAGCCCTTTCATGTTTGTGTTATCCAATTAGGCATATCTGTTTAACTTAGAGCCCGTTTAGTTAGATGATTCGTTCTCTGATTCGAATAATGGTTCATGGTTCGTTACAGTATTTTCTCTCATAAAAAATATACGTAAATAAAAAATAATTATAATCTCATAGTTTTAATCCATGAACTAAACGGGCTCTTATTGATTTTGTTTTTTGTGCTACCCTTTTCTTTAAAGTGATTTTGTGCTATTCTTAATAACTAACAAAATATCCAAAATGCAAGAAGTTTCTTTTCGGGGCCAAAAAAAAAAAAATGCAAGAAGTCCAATTTTCCTTTTTTCAAAATCTAGAGTCCTCATTGTAAATTATAGAACTTTTGAAAGGGTAAAATTAGGGAAAAACAAAAACAAATATTGACTGTTTTGATTTTTTTTTTTCTTTTTATATCCCTTGCATTTTTAAGAACTTTTATTGGAAGACCACTTGAGATTATTTATTGAAAAGAAATGAATGGTTCATTTATAAGGTATACTTAAACTATAAGTGTTGATTTTGACATTTAAAATTTAATTTTTTAAGTGAAACACTGTAATGCAATTAATAATTTGAGAAATCCGCTTGAAATTTCACACTGTTGATGGACGTCATGGTCAACCTGCATGAAATCCATACTAAGAAATAAAGACCCCTGATTTTTTTTTTTTTTAAGCAAATGAGAAGAAAAGAAAAATCCATTCTAAAATTCACATTCTCTTTTCTTTTTGAGAGGTTTCTCTAGTAGGAATTGAAAACATAAATTATCAAAAAATTTCTATTCTCAACCGTTATATTATATTAAAAATTATTTTTTTATATAATTTTTTAATCTGATATAATTTTAATTAATTTAAAATTTTAAAACTTACAATTATAAAGTGACTTGCTCCTTGCGAAAAAAATATCCTTTTTTTTTTTTTTTTTTAAGGAAAATCACTTTCTTTAAATCAACTGTAGTTTCGTTCCCGTTTAATTTAGTTCATTAATTTAAATTAAAATATAATTTTATGTAAAAAAATTTATTATAATAAAAAAATTAAATGTGCATGTTTTTAAAATTTTTTTATTATAATAAAATTTAAATTTTAAATTTAAATTGATAAAATGGACGGACGTAAACCACGCCAAACCACCGCCGCACAAACCTCAAACATCTGAGTTCAGACAGTCCAACCAGATTTTTCTTTTTTTTCCCACTACAGAGACTTTCAGTTTGGGACGCCAAGAAATCGCCACATGGCACAAAAATCTCCATGATTGGTGAAGCACAAATCTTTTTTTTTTTCCAGCCCACTCATGGATTGGCTCCTAATCCTCTCATATATTATTCCACCATTTCTCTCTCCTCTTTCCTTCACCGGAAGGACAACTGAAAAAAAACTAAAAAAACAAAACCAGAGAAATACACACACATATATATAGAGAGAGATACAAGTAATTTAAAGAAAGAGAGGCTTCCACAAGAATGGCTTCCACTCTATGTTACAACGCCATAAATCTCTCAACGCCGGTTTTCTCGAGAACCCAGTTCCCGAATCAGTCTTCCAAGGACTTCTCTTTTGAATTCTCGCCGTTTTTCCGTCACTGGAGCAGATGGGCCGGAACTAGTACTACAGGGCAGAAGAGAACTAGTTTCGGAGAGATTAAGGCAACAGTGGCGGCGCCGGCGCTGGAGACGGAGAGGGGGAGGTCGCCGGAAAAGAAGATCCGGTTGCTGATCGCCGGCGGGGGGATAGGAGGGCTGGTGTTGGCCTTGGCAGCGAAGAAGAAAGGATTTGAAGTGTTGGTGTTTGAGAAGGATTTGAGCGCCATTAGAGGTGAAGGGCAGTACAGAGGTCCAATTCAGATACAGAGCAATGCTTTGGCTGCTTTGGAAGCTATTGATATGGAGGTCGCTGAGGAGGTTATGAGAGTTGGGTGCGTTACTGGTGACAGGATTAATGGCTTGGTCGATGGGGTTTCTGGTTCTTGGTAAGTAACTGCAAGACCCCGTTCTTTTCGTAGTTTCGAATTATAATTCAACCTTTTTGCTAAAGTGTTTATCTCTCGCAAAAATTTGAATTTCAGCTCAAGTTTTCCGTTCAAACCTGTGAAAAAGAACACTTTTGTTTCGCTTTAGTTCTATGTATTAATGATTAATCTCTTCGGCGTGATATGTAAGTATGGTTTTGGGGTCAAAATGATTGATGATCTCAAAGTTGTTTAGTACATCAAGTATTTGACTTTGACTGGCTTAGCTCTTCTAGTTAAGGGAATTTAATGTTGGGGGAAAAAGAAAAAAGGAGGTGGATAAGACGCATATTTAAACCGTCACATTGAAAAATAACGATAATGTAACAGAATTTATAAGAATCTGATGGCTATGGTTCATAATTGTGGCTATCCTTTTTTTTAATTTTCCCTCATCCTACCTTAGAATTCTCCTATGCTTTGTCTCAAAAGTGGACGTCTTTAGAAATACAGAAATCTTTGATACAGACTAGTTTTTTTTTTTTTTTTTTTTTTTTTTTTTTTAAAGAAAAAAAGAAAAAACGATTTTGTTTAAAGAAGAATGTTATAAAGGACTCGCAGGGAACTTCTTAACAAAGTTAGGGCGTGACGCTGTTGGTTTAGGAGCTAAAATGAAACTTTTGTTTGTCTTAGTTTAGGGACCTACCAAAGCATAAATTCAATCTTTTAAAACTTTGCTTTAAAAAAAAATGAAAATGAAAAAATAAAAAATAAAAATCATTAAGTTTGTAACATTTGGAACGTGGCTGGATTGCCAATTCACTTTTATGAGAATATATCCTTTATCTTCCAATGCTTGTTTCTATTTGGCAGGAGTTAAACTTTTGTTTCTATTTGGCATTTAACAAAAGAAATGGAGTCAAAATTGGTTAGCTGTTCTAATAAATAATGAATACGATAATACAAAATCCAAGTTGACAGAAATTCCATGCTTCCTTATGATTTATTATTGTGTTGAGATTTCATCCATTGGGAATTGTTGAACTTTGAACACCTAGTGGCATAGAGTAATGTTTAGTTGGTTATTAGGTACGTCAAGTTTGACACCTTCACTCCTGCATCGGAACGTGGGCTTCCGGTTACGAGAGTGATAAGCCGAATGGCCTTGCAACAAATCCTTGCTCTTGCTGTTGGCGATGATATCATTAAGAACGAAAGTACGGTTGTCGATTTTGAGGATCATGGGGACAAGGTAATGATGTGGTATTGCTTGTTAAAAATTCGGTTGAAGCTTTCCTTTCTTGTTCATCTACTTAAGGAATGTGCAGCTTGATGCTTTCTCGGCATTTATTCTTTTTTATTATTTTCGATTTCACAATTTAGGTCACTGTAATCCTCGAGAATGGACAGCGTTATGAAGGTGATCTTCTAGTTGGAGCTGATGGTATATGGTCAAAGGTAGAATTCTGTGCTCCAAATTCAGGGATCTTTCCATATATCAGTGACTTATATTGAAAAGATGCATATCTTTTCGCAACTATGTTGCAAGGATAAGATTGGTAAATCTTGTTTTTTTGGCGCTCATTTATGTGATAGGTGAGGAAGAACTTGTTTGGTCCAACGGAAGCTATCTACTCGGATTATACATGTTATACCGGAATTGCAGATTTTGTGCCTGCTGACATTGAAACTGTAGGGTATGCCTCATCTCATTTTCCATTACATTTTCAGTTGATCTTGCTTCTTTACTGGCATTTGGATTGTATTATTTTCACATAATCATTGTGTATCATGCTTGAGACTGAAATTTATGTTTCTCTATTTGAAGGTATCGAGTATTCTTGGGACACAAGCAATACTTTGTTTCTTCGGATGTGGGCGCAGGGAAGATGCAGTGGTATGCATTTAACAAGGAACCACCTGGTGGTGTTGATGGCCCCCGTGGTATATACCGTTGATTAATATTTGTTCAAAGCTTTTGAATTTATGTATGCAGACACCCAGAAAATCTTGCTGATTTTGTGTCACTATTATGATTCTGAAATTAGATTTAACTGTGAGAATATTTAGGTGGGCATGAAATCTTTGCCATATCACAACAGCAAAATAAAAGCTAAAAAGTCTTGGCATTTGTTAACTTTGCGCTCATTTGGCAGGGAAAAGGGTAAGGTTGCTCAAAATATTTGAGGGCTGGTGTGACAATGTTATAGATCTGATACTTGCCACGGATGAAGACATGATTCTTCGAAGGGACATATACGATAGAACTCCCACTTTAACATGGGGAAGGGGCCGTGTGACGTTGCTCGGCGATTCTATCCATGCAATGCAGCCAAATATGGGGCAAGGAGGTTGCATGGCCATTGAGGTATGTGTTTCTTTCTTTGTTGATTTGGAACCGTTAGTTCTCCCTTTAGGCTAATGGATTTTTTTTCAATCATTGTTATCCCGTGAAGATTGCTGGACGTTATTCACTTTTTCAATCTCGTGGACCTCGACGAGATGGTGTTTTTTTTTTTTTTTTTGCGGAAATTTTCAATGAACGATACAATGTCTTTGGCATCTTTTTGTAGAGTCATCTGTTCAGAGGGACATTTGGTTTTAGATGCAACCACTTGAAGAATTGAAATTCAATTTTTCCCCCAATGATTTAATCATTACAGGACAGTTATCAGCTTGCTTTGGAGCTTGATAAAGCATGGGAAGAAAGCATCAAATCAGGAACTCCTGTAGACATTGTTTCTTCTCTAAAAAGGTACCATAAAACTATCATTTTTTTTTCCTTCACTGATCAACTTATCCAAAAGAAAATTACAATTCATTGATGACCTACAGCTGAATAACATTTTGTATGCAGACGAATTCATTGCCTAGTTGTTCATTTTTTCTTCTTTGTTTCTCTGTAACTCCCTAGATATGAGAAAGCTAGAAGGTTGCGAGTTGCCGTAATTCATGGAATGGCTAGAATGGCTGCCCTAATGGCTTCAACCTACAAAGCTTATCTGGGCGTAGGACTCGGTCCATTATCGGTATGACTTCTTGTCAGTGTTGTTCTATTAACAATACAAACAAATTAGAGGAACTTGTTTAAATAGTGTTTCTGTTGTACTCATGATGTTTTGCATCTCTCTTTGCAGTTTTTGACCAAGTATAGAATCCCACATCCAGGAACATTTGGGGGTAGATTCTTTATTGACCTGGCAATGCCCCTGATGTTAAATTGGGTCTTAGGTGGTAATAGGTAAGTGAGGTTAATGAGACCTATATTTTTCTGCTATCTAGTTATTGTCTTATTCTCTGATATTTCTTTTAACTCTTTTTATTTCCCGATTTGTGATATCGGTTCTTAAATCGTTTTTCCAGCTCAAAACTCGAAGGGAGGCCACAAAGCTGCAGGCTCTCAGACAAAGTATGTTGCTCTAATTACCATTCAACACAGTTCTTATCATCCGTCAAAATATGAAACTATAGTTGGCTCTCGTCCTAATAACTTAAGCTTTTGGGATAATTAATAAACTAACATGGTATCAACACAGGAAGACTCAAGTTCAAACCCCCTATAATTGAACCTTCTAAAACTGTCATCACATGTTATCAGATTCAATGCGATCTAATTTCCACTATATATCAATTTTCTATGTAGGCAAGTGACCAGTTACGCAAATGGTTCGAGGATGATGATGCATTGGAACGTGCTATGAAGGGAGAGTAAGTCTCCAGGCCTAATATCTCTATTTTGTCTCAAACATAATCGCTGTTCCGGTCAGTATTAACATTTTCTTTTTAATCTTTCTTTGATATAAAACTCTCTCTAGGTGGTTTATTTTGCCACATGGAAATGCCACCGGGACTTTGCAGCCTATCCGTTTGAATAGGGATGAGAACAAGCCCTCAATAGTTGGGTATGTGCATGAGATAATTTTCATCTAGTTATTAATAAATAGTAATGACACAACACAAGTACTAGTTCTTTTCTTATTTTGATTTGATTGTGAGATAGTAATTTTCATGAATTTCTAATCCTCAATGCAAGACTAATCTCTTCTGACATGTCATTGTCGTTTCAGGAGCGTACCACACGACGACTCTTCAGGAACGTCAATTACACTTCCTTTGCCACAGGTGAAGTGGCCACTCAATTGTTGTTAGATGTTACTTCTACTGACAGGATCAAAACCTTTTATCTCGTGTCGTATTGATCTCAAACTTTGAAGTTGTTTTTCTTTCCTCAGGTTTCGAATAGGCATGCCCGTATCAGTTACAAGGATGGCGCCTTTTTTGTGACTGATTTGCGAAGCGAACATGGCACCTGGATCGTTGAGTAAGTAAACATAGTCTCCGCCTTTTGTTTATGTCGATGCGAATCAACTTCTTTTTGTTTCCCCCCCCCCCCCCCCTTAAAGTTTCTTTCCAAATGTGCAGTAATGAGGGCAGGCGGTACCGGATACCTCCAAATTTTCCCACTCGTTTTCGTCCATCAGATTCTATTGAGTTTGGTTCCGACAAGAAGGTAACTAGAACATCCTTACCCTTTAGCTTGTTGCATATACTCTTAATGTTGTCCCTGTGACTTGTCTTTTTGTTGAGCCAAGATCAGAAACTAAAACAAGCTAATTAAACACATCCATTGGTGACTAACATATTATCTTGCCACTTTTCGGATTAAGAATCTTTTTCATTAGGAAAATCTTGTACATGTTTTGTAAAATATGACTTGCCTTGTTATAAAAACAAGTTCCATTTAAAGCCTTTTCTTATTCTTATGTAAATAATGTAATAATGCAGGCAACATTTCGGGTCAAGGTGATCAGGTCTTCTTCTACAACAACTGTAGCACAAAAGGAAGAAAGTGACCTTCTCCAGACGGCATGAAAAATTCTAGAAAACGACTGAGATTTGATTAATACATAATTTAACATGAATTGTACAGCATTTATTCAGGGAAGTGAATCGGGAACATTAAAAACTTGTGTCAATTCTTTTACAAAGAATGTGTTGTACCTGTATGCACACATATATATCCGATCAATGTAAAATGTTCCACCCTTTTTTTTTTTTTTTTGCCTTCCCTTATAACCATTTCTTCTCGTAATATACATTAGAGTTTGATAAAAGTAGTTAAAAATAGTATCCTGCCAGGATAAAAAGATTCTCTAAATTTTTAGTGGTCTTAGAAACTCTTGCTTGTTTATTATTAGTATTAAGGTAATCCTGACAAATACTCATTGCAAGTGCATGGATAAGGATTTTTATCTTTTCTCTTGATTCATAACTTTTTTAGTTAAATAATTATATTGATAAAAATGTATTTATCGAGATTAAGGGATAAAAGATCATACTCATGTACTCTTAAAAATAAATTTATTATTATTATTATTATTATTATTATTGTTAGTATTATTATTATTATTATTATTATTTTCTTTTTTATCAATAGGCTCACAATTTTTGACCATTAACTTTGATTAAAATAACATCAAATTAAAAAAATATGTAAAAACATATTTTATTTTTTATGCTGAAATCAGAGTCTTTTCAGTAATTTATTTTTCCGGTACCAATAAAAAAATCTCCTTCAAGAAAAAAAGAGAACTTGCAAGTTATTTATGGTGGGCCGTTGACATCTTGACCATTGTAAACAAAAATGAGGTGATCTTTGTACCACCTTATCTTTGGTGGGTCCAAAACTGAATCTTATTCAGTTATTATCCCTCTCTTTTGGGGGCTCAAAATAATTCCAAAATCTAGATTATTGATCCAACATTGTCGAGTATTATAGATGATTCTTATTCTTTAGCGATTAATCTTCCTTAACACTCTCCTTGATTGTTGGTGAACTGCCTGATCAGATGGCTAATGATGAAATTGACCACTAAACCTTTTTACCTTTATCTCTTTTGTTTTTTCTCCTTGAAAAATTTGTGCTCAATCTAATTGCTTAATAAGTTGGCTGGTCTGATCATGCCAAGTTTTAAAGCGAGTTTTTTGTGGTGTTCCGGTAGGTTTCCAACAATCTTATGTCCTTTGGGTGGGGTCCGTGATGCAATTCGTAGGCTTTTTGGAGACTATTATTGCACTCCTAAAAGCCCAAGAGGGACCCAATGCAAAGACATACATTACAAAAACAGTGCTTGTTTCACTTCCATGTCACCTTCCTACTTCTAATCCTATTTATTAGAAAACCTTTCTATAAGACAAAGGAAAAAACACTATTGATAGACCATCAGATTTTTATCTAATTCCGTTAAATTGTCATATCTCGTTAGGAAATATCAACTCTAATACTAATTTTACGAACTATTAGTTGTTATTTTTTTATTAATAAATAAAATATATTATTATTAATTGATGTGTTAATCTCTTAAACACATATCATCATTTTTTTATTTAAAATGATTCCCCTGATAATTTAAAAATTGTATACTAGTGCTAGAATTTCTTTTAGGAATCTTTTCTAATACACTAATATATCGGTAGGTATGATATTATGTCTGTTAAATTTGTATAAAATTACATAAAAATAAAAAAAAATACGTAGATGTAACAATTAAAAAAACTTAACTTCTCCCTTTCTTTTAATACCCTACATAAAATTGTCCTAATATATAAACCAAGATGAAGACATAATGATTGTAGCAATCTTTATCACATTTTTCAGTTGGGATATAATTCTTTCCTTTTTTTTTTTTGTGTGCAGTAATTAATCTTTTTCCTTTCGGTGGTCCGGCGTCAAAATCGATAGGTTTAGACTAAAACTAGCAAGAGGGGCCCAATTGAGTGACAAATATTTTCCAAACAGTATTCCTTATGGCCGTTACTTTTCTTTTAAGGGTTGTTTGATATAGTTTAATTCAAATTATGATTTGTTATAATATTTTTTTTTCTTATAGAAAATTTGAATTAAAAAAATTCACGTCAATAATTCTCTCACAAAAAATTTAAATCAAAACCTAAATCATAGTTTAGTACACTTGTTAAACGGACCATTCCTTAGCTACTTAGAAAGTGATTGTTCATCTTATCAGTATATAAATAGTAAATAAGCTGTGAAGCAATTCCTCACGTAGATTTAAGAAAGTTAAGAAAAAGGGTATTCATCATCTAAGCCTATTTATAAAAGAAACGACAACGGTCGTTTTCTCAATCAATTCACAGATGTACAGCTCAACCAACGTCAAAAGAGATTGTTAAAGCTATTTTCCTCCTACTGGTAATTGGGTTCCATTATAGTAAATATAATGAAAATGTATGAAACACATGATGAAAATATATTTGGCTAAGGAAGACAAAAAGTTTGGGGTGAGGGACCATTTTGTCTGTCAACGGAAAAACAAGTGATTTATTCGGCATTGTCCATACTTCATACAATCAACAAGGTTTGCATTGGATTATCTTTACACATGCAACCATTGAAAATAATGCAACATTGTGACCCTACATAATTTACAATAATGTATCAAATATAATGCCCATAACAGCAACAAATGGCACAACGGTCTGAGACGCTATTCAGTCTTCCCTTTCATTTCAACACTAGGTTAGCGAATTGATTTACACTCTAGTCAGTTATTTATAATTGTAGCATGTGCAACACATTTTCAAATATTGGATGATGATCAAAATAGATTTATCTGTTGAATTTTTTTTTTTAATTGTTAAAATCAACTCAAATTTTAATAATTTGAATCAGTTTTCTCATCATCCAATATTTTTGAAAAATTACTTCCAGAGCACCTCGAAATAATGTAATGTTTGTTTCAAGGGTTTGTCCTTGATTCTGAATTATAGTTCTTAGTTCTTTATAATGTGTTTTTTTTTCACAAAAAAATTAAATCTCAAAAATTATAATCATGAATCATAATTCTGAATCTATAAATCAAACGCAATCTTACTCCAAGTCTTCAATTATTTTATTTTATTTATTTATTTTCCTGACAAACAGTCATTGAGAGCTTCAAATTTTCATTTTTGTACTGCCACTGCAGTCAAAATCTATCAATCTACGTAGCTTCATTATGCAATTATGAAAACACAAATAAGTGGGTGGTTGTATTAACTATTAAGGAATGTTATTATCCTCACTGATTCAAACACACAAGAACACAATGATTTAGCCATATATTTCTCTAATAGTTTACTAGTTTTGTCTGTTTCTGCAATGGCAAATAATTGAGTGACCACCCCAATTAAATTCAACCAGACAATATAATGTAACAATATCTGCTTCGACTTTTCCCTTTCCTTCTCTATCACATCTATTGATCTCCTTGTGATCCAGTACATCACCACATATTTCAGCGATGTTGCATCTCTCTCTCTCTCTCTGATATTTCTCTTTTGCTGTTTCTTTTTGGGCTTTTGATGGACAGATGTCACAGATCGGTCACACTCTCAGTCTCAGACTTGGTTGTTGTGTCACAAGATCTGAAGACACCAAACAGAGTACAGTTTCTAGGCCCATACTCTCATTAAATCCACCATGGCCCATTATTCATCCAAAGGACATATTCACAATGCTTGGAACACTTTCGCGACTGTGTTACTAGTTCCGTTTAATTCGCTCATTTAAATTTTTAATTTGAGTTAAGACGTAATTTTATATGAAAATTTTTTATTATAATAAAAATGTTAGATATAATTATTTCTGAGTACTTTTTACTGTAATAAAATTTAAATTTTAAACTCAAATCGGTGAAATTAACATGACTTAAAGTTTGAAACTAATTAATACATTGAAATTCCCTTTGAGTACTAGCGATATTGAATTATCAATTTCTTCACACATTAAAAAAATGAAACATAGTATATAAAAAGATGGTTCCTTTTTGAATCTTTATATTTGTTAGATTTTGTATGTTTGTATACTTTTAGATTTCGATGTGATTATTTTAAATATAACGTTTAGAAAACACACACTATTGATAGCGATTCTTTACCGTAAAGAGTTAATAAAATGATACTGATCATAGTGATACCCTACTGTACAAAGTAAAGGATTATGAGTGGAAGATGATGTTTCAAATAGGACTGATTCCAATTCAAATTTTGTTTGGAAAAGGGAAAAAAGCCATATAACATAGATATCATTAAGTCCCGTTCATTTTACCAATTCGAGTTTAGAATTTGAGTTTTACTACAGTAAAAAACTCTTAGAAACAGTCACATCTAACTATTTGCTATAGTAAAAGACTCTCATATAAAGTCACGTCTCAACTCAAATTAAAAATGTAAACGAATTACAAATTGAAAACGTACTATCATAACACTTTCTATTCAAAACTCATGAGCGTTAGAACTTGTAAATAATTTTTTATTACTGCAGTGATCTTCTCTATATTTACATATATATCATAGGATATTAGGATTTTTATTTTTTTTGGTCTTGTATTTTTGTTTTCAGTTGTGTAGAGATAATTGAATGCATGTGGTGGGAGCATGGTATAGGGAGAGAGCAGAAGGTGGGCATGCGAAGAGGGTAAACAGAGGCGGTGGGATGTGCACGTGACGGAGCAACGGTCGGTTCAGGTAGTGGTGGCAGTGACCGTTGGAGCATTTATTATCATTGTGTGGACAGTGTTCTTTTTTTTTTTTTTTTTTAATTGAACTTTGCAAGTTTCTTGAGACTTTCCGATGTCAAAAAATGTTCCATATTTCCATACTCCCGCGTTAGGCGTCTGTTGATTATTATTTCTTGGATTGGTATTTATTGTTTCCTTAATTTTAATCCCATAATTCAATATATTTTGTTTCTTTCCGAAAAAAGAAAAAAAAAAGAAAACTATGTTTTTGTCAAAAGGCCAATTATTGCTGTTGTTCTTATGAAGGAGTAATGGCAAATATATATATATATATATATATATATATATATATATATAATATATTTTGTTTCTTTCCGAAAAAAGAAAAAAAAAAGAAAACTATGTTTTTGTCAAAAGGCCAATTATTGCTGTTGTTCTTATGAAGGAGTAATGGCAAATATATATATATATATATATATATATATATATATATATATATG